GCCTAGCATTCATAAAGCCCATTTGATTCCTCAGTACTGCAGAAACTGAAAAAGCTGGAAGTGGTGCTGTGGCTCAAGTGGTAGAGTGCTAGCCCTGAGCAAAAGAAGCTCAGAGACAGTGCCCATGCCCTGAGTTTAAGCCCCAGGACTGGCAAAAAAAAAAAAAAAATCTCACGGACTTTCTTGCCCAGGCTGGTTTTGAACTGCGATCTTCAGAGCTCATCTTCCTGAGTAGTTAGGATTATAGGCAGGAGCTACCAGCTCCAAGCATAGGGGTGACATTTTAGATTTCTTTTTTTTTTTTTTTGGGTCCGGTCGTGGGGCCTGAACTCTGGGCTTGGGCACTGTCCCTCAGCTCTTCAGCACAAGGCTAGCGCTCTACCACTTGAGCCACAGCGCCACTTCCGGCTTTTTGCTTATGTGGTGCTGAGAATCGAACCCAGGGCCTCAGGCATGCAAGGCAAGTGCTCTACCACTGAGCCAACTTCCCAGCCCCAGGGGTGACATTTTAAAGGGAGAGATAGGGAGAAAGTTTAGTGCTTGCATGACATACCTCACCCTTTTGTGGTCTTTCCAGATCATTCTAGTCTTCCAGATCTAAAGTCTTTTGGAAACATAGTCTCAGAGAAGGTAGCTATACAGAGAACAGGGCATGGGGTTGGCTGTGATGACCTGGTGTCCCTGGGGCTTGGCGTGACCGTATGTGCAGGGCAATCCCAGAGCTGCACTCTGGCCATGTAGGAAAAAGGAAAGAAAAATACCACACATGAAATATGCAGTCTGAACCACAAGCCCACCCCACTGCCACGTTCATCTCTCAGAGCTGAGTCTCTGTTGCCCTTCCCCCCAAGCCCAAGGTTATTTCCCACTAAACTCACACCTTCCCTTCTCCATAGCACTGCCCTTTCCTCTTCTAATCCCTCCCCTACCCCCATTGTCTCCAAAATCTTTCCCAGTCCAGCCATGGCCCAGGATCAAGTGTCAGGGCTGCTCTTTCAGATTCACAGCCTTCCTCCACATCTCTCCCCAAGCCTTGTATATTAAGTATTTGGAATTGGAGAAGGGACTTTGAGATTTTTATCACGGGTCACATACACCCACACCCAGACACATATTTCCTGTTATCCTGTGACCCTCCCTGTCCAGTCTCTGACTCAGGACACAATGGAACAAAGGAAGCTACAATGCTGTTTTCAGAGTCCTTAACAAGTCTGGAAAAATGAATATTCAACTATTGAGCCTTTACCTTCTTGTCTGTCCTCCCTCCCACCCTCACTAAGGCAATAAAGAAAGGGTGAGAATAGTAAAGGTTTTACAAAGAAGGGGAGAAGCTGGTGAGGTGGTATATGCTTTTAATCCCAGCACTCTTGAGTTAAGGTGAGAGGATATGGAGTTAAAAGCTAGCTTGAGCAACATAGTGAGATCCTGATTTAAAAAACCCACCCCAAAACAGGAATGGGGGAAGAAAGAAAAAGGAGCAGAGCATTGAGCATATCCCCGGGAAGGGGCTGTGTCCCAGTTGCAGGCAGCCTCAACCCTGGCTGAGGCATGAAAACAAGAAAGAGCCCCAGAGAGAATGAGTTGCTCAAGGCCGCTGACTTTATGCCTATTAACCCCATTCTAATAGATATGTGGAATCATGGGCCTTGGGAAGCAGCAGCAGAGAGGGATCTGGGGTTTGGAAGCCAGGTTTTTGGGCTAGAGCCATGACCAAAGGTGTCAATGGTGGATGTTGGCCAGTGGGCACCTGGGAATTGGTTAAGAGCTTCATTGACCTTGGGCACAGGGAGGGATGGCACAGGGACTCGGGAGAAGGGCAACGCTTGTCACCAAGAACCATGATGTCAAGAGGTGCTATACCAACAGTGGCTCTGTTCCTAGGATGGTATCTGAATCTGTTTCTGTTGCTTTAACAAAATACCTAAAGAGCAATGTTGATAAAAGACATTTAAGGGCTGGTTGTACTGGCCCATTTGTGTAATTCCAGCTACTTGGTGCGGGGGCGGTGGAGTTAGGACTGGAGTCCAAAGCTGGACCTGGGCAAAAGCATAAAACTCTATCTGAAATACAAATCAAGGAAAAAGAACTAGGGGTATGGCTGAATGCTACCACTAGCACCCCTTGAGTTCAGTTCCAAGTACTGTGGAAGGAAGGAAGGAAGGAAGGAAGAGAGGGAGGGAGGGAGGGAGGGAGGGAAAGGAAAGAGAAAAAAAAGAAAAGTAAGAGGGAGGAGAGGGTAAAGACACAGGGGGTGTTTGAAGGGTGAAAACTCCAGATCAGGAGGCTCCCTGTTGTGCCTCTGAAGAGGCCCCCTGAAAGTCATAACTTGGCAGGGAAGCAGGAGGCCAAACAGGTCAGGCCAGGAGCACATGGGGACTCCCTTGATTATAACTTTTTTTTTTGTCGGTCATTCTTGGGGCTTGACCTCTGGGCACTGTCCCTGAGCTCTTCAGCTTAAGAGGAGCGCTCTACCACTTGAGCCATAGCCCCACTTCTGGTTTTCTGGTATTTAATTGGAGATAAGAGTCTCATGGACTTCTCCTGCCCAGGCTGGCTTTGTATAATGATCCTCAGATCTCAGCCTCCTGAGTAGCTAGGATTACAGGCATGAGCCACTGGCATCCAGCTCAATTATCAAATTTTAAGCAATTATCTTGCTTCCAAAGGATGTTACTTCTTGGGACACCATTCTCATTTTTTTTCTCTTCTTTCCTTCTCTACCTCGTTCCCTCATTCCCTTCCTTATTCTTTTCTTTCATGTGTGTGCTGTACTGGGGGCTTGAACTCAGGGTACTTTAACTTTTTCTCTCAAGGGGCTCTACCACCTGGTTCGGGTCCACTTTTGGCTTTTGGTGGTTACTTGGAGATAAGAATCTCACAAAGGGGCTGGGAAGGTGGCTCAGTGGTAGACTGCTTGTCTTGCATGCATGAGGCCCTGGGTTTGATTCCTCAGCACCACATAAGCAAAAAGAAAAAAGCTGGAAGTGGCTCTGTGGCTCAAGTGGTAAAGCGCTAGCCTTGAGCTAAAGAGCTGAGGGACAGCACCCAGGCCCAAAGATCAGGCCCCACGACTGGACCCCTCCCCCCCCCCAAAAAAAGAATCTCACAAACTGGGCTGGGAAGTTGGCTCAGTGGTAGAGTGCTTGCCTTGTATGCATGAGGCCCTGGGTTCAATTCCTCAGCACCACATCAACAGAAAAAGCCATTAGTGGTGCTGTGGCTCAAGTGGTAGAGCACTAGCCTTGAGCTGAAGAGCTGAGGGACAGTACCCAAGCCCAGTTTAGGCCCCACCACCAACAAAAAAGAAAAAAAAATCTCACAAACTTTCTGGGCTGGGCTGGCTTTGTAACAGGACCCTCAGAGATCAGCCTGGGTAGCTAGGATTACAGATTCAAGTCATCAATACCTAGCCAGTCTCAGGAAATTTTCTTTTTTGTGTGTGCCTGTCCTGGGCCTTGAACTCAGGTCCTGGGTGCTGTCACTGTGCATTTTTGCTTAAGGTTAGCACTCTATCATAAAGCCACAGCTCCACTTTCAGCTTTTTCTGGTGCAGACTTTCCTGCCCAGGCTGGCTTCCAACAGCAAACCTAGATCTTGCCTCCTGAGTAGCTAGGATTACAGTCACGAGCCACCACAGGCTATGTTGTATTATTATTTTAGGTTTCACTGGCTCTCTATCAACTGGGCCACTCCTCTAACTTTTATGTATTATTTTGTTTTTGTCAGTCACGGGGCTTGAACTCAAGCCCTGGGTGCTGTCACTGAGCATTCTACCATACAGCATTCTAACTTCAGCTTTCTCTGGTGCGGACTTTGTGCCCGGGCTCACTCCTAACAAAGATCCTCATAGCTCAGCCTCCTGTGCAGTTAGGATCACAGGCGTGATCCAGCACCCCGCCTCTATGTATTATTACTTTTGTCGGTCATGGGCCTTGAACTCTGAGCCCCGGTGCTGTCCCTCAGCTTTTCAGCTCCAGGCAAGTGCTCTACCACTTGAGCTACAGCGCTACTTCCTGTTTTCTGGTGGTTAATTGGAGATAGGAGTCTCACAGACGTTCCTGCCCGGGCTGGCTTTGATCTCAGCCTCCTTAGTACCTAGGATTACATTCAAAAGGCACCAGCACCCAGCTTCTATGAATTATTTTTATTTATTGATTTGTCGGTTGTGGGGCCTGAACTCTAGGCCTGTGCGCTGTCCCTCAGCTCTTCTGCCCAAAGCTAGTACGCTACCACTTGAGCCACAGCGCCACTTCCGGCTTTTTTATTTTTTGCTTATGTTAGTGCTGAGGAATCGAACCCAGGGCCTCACGCATGTGAGGCAAGCGCTCCACCACTGAGCCACCTTCCCAGCCCATGTATTATTTTTGTTTTTTATTTTATTTTATGTCAGTCATGGGGCTTGAACACTGGGCTTGGGCGCTGTCCCTCCGCACTTCAGCTCAAGGCGAGCGCTCCACTGCTTGAGCCACAGCGACACTTCTGGTTTTCGAGTGGTTTATTGGACATAAGAGTCTCACGGACTTCCCTGCCCGGCTGGCTTTGAACCGTGATCCTCAGAACTCAGCCTCCTGAGTGGCTAGGAATAGGTTAAAACGAGAAAAATCAACCTACAGAACAAGGTTGGGAATCTTCCTGGAGTCCCCAGTCCCGCGCCATCAAGTCTACAGGCCTAGCAAGGAATTCAAGCCCTACCAATCCCTAGGACTCCACCAGCTTCCAAGAGTCACTTCCCGCCCTCCAGGCCCACCGCAGGCACCGCACACGCGGCCCACTCCGCAGCCGGCCGCCTCCACTTGGAGGGGCCAGCGCGCCGACACCGCGCAATCACCAGCTCCACGTGACCGGCGCCGCAACACGTGACCGGCGTCGCAACACGTGACCGGCGCCGCAACACGTGACCGGCGCCGCAACACGTGACCGGCGCCGCAACACGTGACCGGCGTCGCGCCCGGTGGGCGTCACGTGACCGAATCAAGCCGTCTGCACGTTGTAGGAATTTCCCCCGAGGGCCAGGCCGGACATTTCGACTCCCCCATTCTCCTGCCAGCCACCTCCCGCTAGCAACAGGGCCGAGGAGTCTCTCAAATGTTGTCTTCTAGAGTGGCGTCAGGAGGCCCCGGCCCGCCGTGCAGTGAGTCCCGGAAGTGACGTCTCCCAGAGGGGCCGGAAGTGGCAGTGGAGGGAGGGAAGATGGCGGAGGTGGTGAGTCCGGTGCCTGGGGCGGGGCGGAGGGAGCCAGGGGAGGTGGGTAGAGCCCGAGGCCCCCCAGTAGCCGACCCTGGCGCCCCGCTGTCTCCCCAGGGGGAGATAATCGAGGGTTGCCGCCTACCCGTGCTGCGGCGGAACCAGGACAACGAAGATGAGTGGCGTGAGTGACGTAGGGGGGCGGGGCCAAGGAACCCGAGGCGCGGGGCGGGAGGGAGTCCTCGGAACCCCTGGGAGAGGGAGGAGCCTCTGGAATCCTGGGGCGGGCGGGCGTGAGTACTCCGGAGGGCGTGGCTCCGAGATGGACCGGGCGGGGCCAGGAGCTGGGGTGGCACTTCGTTCCTGGAGGGGGCTTGAGCCAGAGCTTCCAAGTGCTGGAGTAGTGGGTTCAGACATGGGGGTTGGGTTCAGGTTGTAGAAAGGTGGAGCCTCATAGCCTGGTCTGAGACCCCTGTTTGTGTTGTTCCCATAGCCCTGGCTGAGATCCTAAGCGTGAAGGACATCAGTGGCCGGAAGCTTTTCTACGTCCATTATATTGACTGTGAGTTCTGGGTCTGGGTGGGATGGGGCTGCTGGGTAGGGTGAGAGGCAGCCTCTGGCATTCCCTCCTGAGCCACTCCCACTGCTGCAGTCAACAAACGTCTGGATGAATGGGTGACCCATGAGCGGCTGGACCTAAAGAAGATCCAGTTCCCCAAGAAAGAGGCCAAGACCCCAACCAAGAACGGACTTCCTGGGTCCCGCCCCGGCTCTCCAGAGAGAGAGGTGGTGAGTAGGTCCCCCACTTCACCTCTTCTCTGATGCCTCTTCCTTCTCTCATCTCTTGGCCTTAGGGGCTGGATGGGCAGGAGGAGGCGGCACACTCCCACCTTGACTGTAGCTTGCAAAGGACGGGGGCCAAATTGCAGATGTAGTTTCCAGAGTCCAGTGATTATTACTGAGTCCTTGAGAAAGCATTGGGTGGGGTTTGATCACTCCATGATGAGGGGCCCCTCCTCCCCTTCGCCATCCCACCACCATCCCCACCCCAGAGGAAGACCCTGGACCTATCTCTACAGCCGGCCTCCGCCCAGGCCAGCGGGAAGACCTTGCCAATCCCGGTCCAGATCACACTCCGCTTCAACCTGCCTAAGGAGCGGGAGGCCATTCCCGGTGGTGAGCCCGACCAGCCGCTCTCCTCCAGCTCCTGCCTGCAACCCAACCACCGCTCAACGGTACCCTCAGCAATTCCAGGGACCTTGCTTTCTTCTCAGGTCCCACCTTCTCTACCTTCTGACCCACCTTTTTTGGTTTCTCTCTGCAGAAACGGAAGGTGGAGGTGGTTTCACCAGCAACGCCAGTGCCTAACGAGACAGCCCCTGCTTCAGTGTTTCCTCAGGTGAGTCCCCTCAGTCCCCTCATCTTCCTTTCTGCTCTCTGGCCGCCTCCTGCAGGCTCATCTCACAGCCACTCCTTCTTTTACCATCTCTGCAGAATGGATCAGCCCGCAGGGCAGTGGCAGCTCAGCCCGGACGGAAGCGGAAGTCAAATTGCTTGGGCACTGATGAGGTGTGTCTGTGGAGCAGTGGGTGAGGGAGGCTGGGGTGCAAAGTCTAATCATGTCAGGTTTAAAACTAAACAAAGGGGGCTGGGAAGGTGGCTCAGTGGTAGAGTGCTTGCCTTGCATGTATGAGGCCCCGGGTTCAATTTCTCAGCAGAAAAAGACAAAGTGACGCTGTGGCTCAAGTGGTAGAGCCCTAGCCTTGAGGTGAAGAGCTGAGGGACAGTGCCCAGGCCCAGAGTTCAGGCCCCATGACCGACCAAAAAAATAAACAAAAAAAGGATATTGGGTAGTAATGGTAGGATTGGAAACGTGGCAGAGCATGGTTCAGACTGGCTCTTGCATAATCTTTTCCAAATGACCAATTTTTCAGCTTTGTTTTCCTTATTTTCGAAGGTGAGGCTCATGGTACTTTCCCCAGAGCAGCCATTAGGCTTGCAGGAGGAAGGTTGCACAGGACTGGGAGTTACAATGTTCTTGCTAAAGCTGTCTCCTTTAACCTGGACTCTTCCACTGGCCCCTGGTAGGACTCTCAGGACAGCTCAGATGGAATACCATCAGCACCACGCATGACTGGTAGTTTGGTGTCAGACCGGAGTCACGACGACATTGTCACCCGGATGAAGAACATAGAGTGTATCGAGCTGGGCCGACACCGCCTCAAGCCGTGGTACTTCTCCCCGTACCCACAGGAGCTTACCACATTGCCTGTTCTGTACCTGTGCGAATTCTGCCTCAAATACGGCCGTAGCCTCAAGTGTCTGCAGCGCCACTTGGTATGAAGGGTCCTAGGAGGCTTCCCTCACAGCATCCCCACACCAGCCTCTGCCCCTGACCTCTTCTCTTCCTTAGACCAAGTGTGACCTGCGGCACCCTCCAGGCAATGAGATTTACCGCAAAGGCACCATCTCCTTCTTTGAGATTGATGGACGGAAAAACAAGGTCAGTGAGTGAGGGTAGTGGGACCTGGTATAAGCCAAGTGAGCAACTGAAGATTCAGCCTGTTTTTATTGAATTCCTGCCATAAGGCAGATGGTGGGGGATACAGATGACCAAGAGTTAGACTTCTCTGAGAGTCATAGCTGAAATAGATATTAAGACCTGGTGCTTCCTGGCTACTCAGGGGGCTGTGATTAGAGGATCATGGTTGGTTGGAAGCTAGCCTGGGCAGGAAAGTCTGTGAGATTCTTGTCTCTAATTCACCAACATAAAGCCAGAAGGGAAGGTGTGGCTCAAGTGGTATAGACTTTCAGCCTTGAGTGAAAAAGCCAAGTGAGAATATGAGGCCAAGGGTTCAAGCCTTGGTACTGACACATATAGTCAATAAGTGCCAGCTACTGCCATCCTGTTTCGAGAAGTCATGAACGAAGGGCAGATTAGCAGAGTTTAGAAAAAGTAATCGTCAAGGCTTCACAAGTGTCCTTGAGCCTGGATGTGAAGGAGAAAGTAAGGAAATTCTAATCGTTGGGTTCTTAGGGCATGCACAGACCTCCGGGATACTGTGTGAAAGGCAATGGTCACTATGGCTAAAAGGGAAAGCATAGAGGGTAAGGCAAGATAAGGGACAGTTCAGGTCAATGGGGAAAGATGGGCCACCAGATTGACTAGGATCTGCCCTGGTGAGAAATCTGGTTAAGTGTGGACCTGGGCATTCATGGGTATGCCCAGTACGTACAAGCTGTATCTGGCTGGCTACTCAGGAAGTGAAGGCAGGAAGACTGAAAGTTTGAGGCCAGAGGCTGGGAAGGTGGCTCAGTGGTAGAGCACTTGCCTTGCATGCCTGAGGCCCTGGGTTCGATTCCTCAGCACCACATAAGCAAAAAGAAAAAAGCGGTAAGTGGCGCTGTGGCTCAAGTGGTAGAGTGCTAACCTTGAGCTGAAGAGTTGAGGGACAGCGCCCAGGCCCAGAGTTCAGGCCCCACGACCAGACCAAAAAAAAAAAAAAAAGAAAGTTTGAGGCCAGCCTCAAGTTCACAAGATCCTGTCTCAGAAACAAAATATAAACAAGGGCTGGGAAGGTGGCTCAGTGGTAGAGCACTTGCCTTGCATGCATGAGGCCCTGGGTTCGATTCCTCAGCACCACATAAGCAAAATAAAAAAAGCCAGAAGTGGTGCTGTGGCTCAAGTGGTAGAGCGCTAGCCTTGAACTGAAGAGCCGAGGGACAGCGCCCAGGCCCAGAGTTCAGGCCCTATGACCGGACCCCCCACCCCCCCAAAAAAAAAAAAAAACAAAAACAAAAGGGCTATCTAACACACTGAAAGGTCTTGGGTTTAATAACCAATATTGCGGGGGTGGGGGGGGGGGGCAGCTGTGTCTGAAATTCCCCTTGATACCAAGGATATAAAGCAGCCAGATTATTTGTAATTCTGGGGAATCACCCAAGACTGTTACTTTGTTCCAAATACATAGAATAGTGGATTAATTCTCAAGATTAATGATTGTGAGCTAAAACCATTAGGATTTTGACTTGCCAGATGGGCAGAGTTTCAGTCTTGAGACTTGGTAGGAGTCTGACTTCTTTGTGGTTTTTGTTTTGTTTTGCAGTCCTGGGATTTGAACTCAGTGCCTGGGCACTGTTCCTGAGCTTCTTTTTGGCTCAAAGTTAACACTCTACCTTGAGCCATTGCACCACCTCTGGCTTTTTCTGTTTATGTGATACTGAGGAATCAAACCCAGGGCTTCATGCATGCTAGGCAAGCACTTTACAAATGAGCCACCTTCCCAGCCCCTGCCTTCTTCAAAAGTTAAAAAAATTAAAAAATCAGAGGCCAGGCACTGGTGGCTCATACCTGTAATCCTACCTATTCAGGAGGCTGAGATCTGAGGATCATAGTTCAAAGCCAGTCTGGGCAGGGAAGTTTATGAGGCCCATCTCCAGTTAACCACCAAAAAACCAGAAGTGGTGCTGTGGCTCAAGTGGTAGAGCATTCCCCTTGAGCTGAAGAGCTGATGGACAGTACCCAAGCCCAGAGTTCAAGCCTCATGACCAGCAACAACAACAGAAAAAAACAGCAGAGGGCATCCAGTGCCAATGGCTCATGCCTATAATTCTAGCTACTCAGAGGACTATGAGGACTACAGTCCACAGCCAGCCCATACAGAGTCCATGAGAGGGGCTGGGAAGGTGGCTCAGTGGTAGCGCGCTTGCCTTGCATGCATGAGGCCCTGGGTTCGATTCCTCAGCACCACATAACCAAAAAGAAAAAAAGCCGGAAGTGGCGCTGTGGCTCAAGTGGCAGAGCGCTAGCCTTGAGCTGAAAAGCTGAGGGACAGCGCCCAGGCCGAGTTCAGGCCCCACGACTGGACCCAAAAAAAACCAAAAAACAAAAAAACAGAGTCCATGAGACTTTTACCTCCAGTAAACCACCCAAAAGCAGGAAGTGGAGCTGTGGCTCAAATGCAAGAGTGTTAGCCTTCAGCAAAATAAGCTCAGGAACAGCACCCAGGCCTGTGGCATGATTAAAACAAAAGAAAGCCAGCAGATGGCCGTGGAGTCCTCCAGATCAGGCTTAGGCAGAAGTAACGGGGGGGGGGGGGGGGGGGGGGGGGCAGAGGAAACCTGCATGTCTTATAAGTGACTAGACATCAGTATGGAACTGGTATGTGGACTCCCAGACGCTGAAAAATGGCCCTGCCTAAATAAGTGACAGTGATCTGACTGGTGGAGTAGGTGAAGCCCCAGGAAGCAGTTGCCATCACCTATCCACCCTGGTCATAGCTCCCCAAAGTAATGACAGACCTTTTTCCTTTGCAGAGTTACTCCCAGAACCTGTGTCTTTTAGCCAAGTGTTTCCTTGACCACAAGACGCTGTACTATGACACAGACCCCTTCCTCTTCTACGTGATGACAGAGTATGATTGCAAGGGCTTTCACATCGTGGGCTACTTCTCCAAGGTCAGCTATCACCCAGACTGTCCCTCGGTCCTACCAGAGTCAGGCCCCTTCCCTTATTAACCTGCACCTCTTTTCCAGGAGAAGGAGTCCACAGAAGACTATAATGTGGCCTGCATCTTGACCCTGCCTCCTTACCAGCGCCGGGGCTATGGCAAATTGCTGATTGAGTTCAGTGAGTATGCATGCTGCCAGCCAGGTCTAGAGGGAGACAGGCCCAGGCTCAGAACAAATACACCCTCACCTGTTTCACAGACAGGCCAGGTTGCTGCCATTCTCAGCCCTGGTAGTATAGCCCAATCACCATAGGAACTGGCTAAAAATAGAGGTGGGATTCAACTAAGGTCTCTTCCCTGCTGGAGTAGGTTCTCAACCCCTACTACATTTTGGCTAGTTTTCTAAGCACCACTCAACTTTTTCCAAATGGGCTCATCTGCCTGGAGCTCTTAAGAACTTACTCATCTTTCTGGGCCTATTCCATGATACAAGTTATTGGCCAAGGACCCATGGTTCATATCTCCAGGACCCTTGCAGGTGTTTAGAAGGCTGTTAATACAAGGCCCAGCATATCTATAATCTCAGCTACTTGGGAGGTGAAGGGGAGGGAGGACTGTGGTTCAAGGTTGGTCCATGCAAAAATTGATTGAGATCCTATCTTAAGCCTTGTAGAGGCATGCATCTAAAATCTCAGCTATATGGGAGGCAAAGGTAGGACTGCAGTCAAAGCAGTAAGTGGGAATACTCTTTCTGAAAAATAAAGCAAAAAAGGGCTGAAGGTATAGCTCTAATGGCAGACCACCTGCCTAGCAAGTATAAGGCTATGTGTTCAGACACCAGCACCACCAAAAAAAAAAGGGCATAGAAAAAGTCTTTGATCAAGTTACCAATTATAAGATGGACTTGGGCTGTTCCTTTTGTTGCTCCAAGTAAAATTTTTTTTTTGGTGGGGGGAGGGTCAGGTCATGGGGCCTGAACTCTGGGCCTGGGCGCTGTTCCTCATCTCTTCAGCTCAAAGCTAGCGCTCTACCACTTGAGCCACAGCACCACTTCCGGCTTTTTCTGCTTTTTTTTTTTTTTTTTTTTTTGGGTCCTGAACTCTGGGCCTGGGCGCGCTGTCCCTCAGCTCTTCAGCTCAAGACTAGCGCTCTACCACTTGAGCCACAGCGCCACTTACCGCTTTTTTCTTTTTGCTTATGTGCTGCTGAGGAATCAAACCCAGGGCCTCATGCGAGGCAAGCGCTCTACCACTGAGCCACCTTCCCAGCCCCCCAAGTAAATCTTGAAGCCTAGGAGGGATGCTTTCTAGCCTTACTTCACTCCCCATTCATCTCAGCACTCTCCAAAGTACTGGAATATCGAAGTTCTGACCTAGGAGTCAGAATTCTTAGCTGTTTGCCCAGTGAAGACACTGATCTGACCTGACCAAGATCATAGTCCACTTGAGAAATTTTTTATTGATCAAATGGTATACCCAAACGGGTCACATCTGTGGCAAACTCAGCTTGGTAGAACATGTAGAGGAATACACAAAAAAAGTCAAGACTTGGGGCTGGGAGTTCAGAAAAAAGTCAAGTCAAGGCCCAGAGTTCAGAAAAAAGTCAAGTCAAGACTTTTGTGGGGGTGGACTCTGTCCAACAGGGCACCTCAAAGCACAATTCCACATAGCTCACAAGGTGGATGTTCCCTGGGAGGGGCTGTGGTGGTGAATATGGCCTTAGTGGATCTGTGAGGACCACATGCATGGGGATCCAGCAGAGCTGAGTAAGAAACCACTGTGCCCTCTTCCCCTTCTTGCTTCCTCTCTCGACACCAGCCTCTTGGTCTGTCTTACCACAGGATGCTTGGGTCAAGTCACAGTAGACTGGGAAGAGGGTAAGACTGATGATATGTAGCAAAGGTGGAAAAGCAGAAAGCTCCAAGGTTCACCATGAGGCCAGTTATGGCTGCAGGTGAGGAAGGGCTTCTGTGGTATGTCAGAGACGTACCAGGGCCATAGCAAAAAATTAAAGGTCCCTGTGGAAGAGCAGTGAAGCCACTCAGCTCTACAAAACCTTCAGATCTCACCAGAATCTATCTGGCAGTGCCCAGTAGTTAGCCCAAATAGGCAGAAGCTGCTGTGAAGTTCTAGGTCACTTACTTGGTTTTGTGTAATGACCTTCCCTGAGATGGGAAACATCTAGATGTGCTTTCCTACCCTGACAACCACATCGTAGATCAGCTGACACTCCCAGGGTCACAGCTGGGGGACTAATTTCACCAATTCAGGCATCCTCAGGACGGGGCACAGATGATGGCTGGCCTCACCTCCCCACCCCCACCCCTTAAACAGGATATAAGGGAACGAAAAGCAAAGGAAAATTGGTGGCATTTTTCTCTCCATAAGCCTTTGTGTCTGCAGTCTCCCAGTTTATGTATAAGCCTTAGCTGGCTCCTGAGCACCCCTGGATTGCAGCTGCTGCTTGGTGCCTTCAATTCCTCATCTGCTCAGCTTGCAGATGAAGAGTGAATGCCTACTTGACCTTTCTGAGGAAAGGTAGAGATAGAGCAGAAAAGCCACATTATCCAAGGTTGCAAGTGCCAAACATGACGACTAGGATGAGAAATAGCCTAACTCTGCAGCTGCTACTGTTGTGTGGTTGCCTGTGTGCACTTGTGACTACTCACCCACCCTCTCCTGCTCCACAATGCTTCAGGCTATGAACTCTCCAAAGTGGAAGGGAAGACAGGGACCCCTGAGAAGCCCCTTTCGGATCTTGGCCTCCTATCCTACCGAAGTTACTGGTCCCAGACCATTTTGGAGATCTTGATGGGGCTGAAGTCAGAGAGTGGGGAGAGGCCACAGATCACCATCAAGTGAGTTTGGCTTTGTACCTGGGCAATGCATGGCATGATATCTGTCCCTGGAGGTCCTGGGGACAGATGAGGGCCCTCAGAGAAGCTGACCTTTGCCCCCTTCTCCCCCAGTGAGATCAGTGAAATCACAAGCATCAAGAAAGAGGATGTCATATCCACCCTGCAGTACCTCAACCTCATCAATTACTACAAGGTAGGAGGCATGCCAGGGAGGTAAGCCAGAGGGTGTAGGTTGTAGGCCCTGTGTGGCTATGGCTGATTATCTACTGGGCCCATCTCCTATCCAGGGACAGTACATCCTGACTTTGTCAGAAGACATCGTGGATGGGCATGAGCGAGCTATGCTCAAGAGGCTCCTTCGAATTGACTCCAAGTGTCTGCATTTCACTCCCAAGGACTGGAGCAAGAGAGGAAAGTGGTGATCAGGCATTGCCCATCACAGCACCACGACAGCTGTCAGAAACAGGACTGGCAGCCTATTCTGCCCCTAGCAGGGCTCCCAAGAGGCACACCGAGGAAGAGAAGGCAGCCAAGGGAGACAGGGCTGAGGACAGTTCCAGAAGACAGGCCTGGGAGGGGCTGGGATCACAGCGAGCTCAGGGCTAAGCTAGGTCCAAGGACAACTGGTCACATGCCCAGGCCTGCTCTGAACCAGAGACCAGAGGAAGCTAAGCAGCTGTGTACAGTAATATGGGACAGGGGACACTGTACAGAGGGTTGGTGATTGTAAAAATTTCTTTTGTAAAGTAGGAGCTGGGGGTGGGATGGATGCTGGCTGCAAAATCTGGCCTCCTTTGCTCTAATTGCCCCCAGCAATAAATTGTCTCTATAGGCCAGAGCCACCAAAGAGTTCTTGTGGAAGAAGGAACCAAGCTGGCTTTGGGACACCAATGTGCCCACAGACTCACAGGTGCTGTGAAGAGGCTGTTTATTGGGAGAACAAAATCAGTGGCTTCAAAGTGAAGTGAAGTTACTGGTGTGAACAGATCTGTAGCTTTCAAGCTGTTTCTCAGTCCTCAGGCACCTGTGCGTGAATCTGCAACGGGAAGTCGCCTCCACTGTAGTAAATTTTAAGATTCCAGAGCCGACTACCCAGGAAGGAGCTAGCTACTCAGAACGACACCCCCTTTTAACGGCCGAGGAGCACGTGGGAGATAGCTGTGCTTCCCACCCTTCCCAGCCTCATCCCATGGCATTTCAGCGATAAGGCCCCAAATCCACTAGGGACAAGATTCTGGGAGGGGACAGGCCTGGGAGGAAGAGGTCCCCGGTGTACTCACCGCTGCAGCGAGGTCGGGCCAAGCCAGGGCCCCATGAACTTTGGCATCTGGGCCGGGGGTGGTCTCCAAGCCCCACAGGGTGAAGCGGCTGAAACTGCCAGTGGCTCCGATAAAGCGGTCCTGGAAAGGGGCCCTCTCAGCACTGGAACTGCTGCTCCTCCCGCACCCCGGCCTCCCCTGTCCCTTGGCTCACGAAGTCCCGCTCCAGCGGCTCCTGCTCTTCCTCTCCGCCGTTCTTCAGGCTCTCCGAGAAGTCCTGTTTCCTCAGCCCGTCACCCTTTCCCTCGGTCACCATCACGTATCCAGCGAGGCCAGAGGGCACGGCCACCTCCTCGCCCCGGAGGCTGCGGCCCCGGAACGACACCTGGAGTCCTGCCGGAAGGAGGACCGGGTCCCCGATCAGGCCAGCCCGGTACACAAGCTCTGCGGGTGAGCGCGCCCGCTCGAACGAACCACGATACCCAGGAGCCCTCGCGGCACCCGCGACGAGCGCAAAGACTGCTGGGAGCAGGAGTGGACCAGTGGCTCACCGTCAGGGCCTTGACGGATGGCAGGCGTGAAGAACCGCTCCACTGGTGCGGGCCGGTTCGCCAGGACTTCGCAGGGCAGGAGGTGTAGCGTGACCGGGGCTGCGTCCCGCAGAGTAGCGGGACGTAGGTGGACGCGCTGCCTTCCAACGATTGGGTCGCTGCTCTCCATCGCCTGACGCTCCCTGGGAGAAGCCAAAGCTGGCGGGTAAAGCACGCAGGGTGTGTCGGGAGGCTGGGGCCATGGCGCGAACCCTCATGGGAAATGTAGTCCGGAAGGCCGGGCAATGTCGTGCAGCCTCGTGGGAAATGTAGTCTTTCGAAAAGGCCCGCTTCCCTACTGGCAAGTTCCTGCGTTTCCCCCGTAACAATTAAAAACAAAGACAAACAAAAAACCGCTTTGTAAAAAACTTAAAGCTGTTGCGAAGAGTGCCCTCTTTATATCGGCAGGAAGATAGGTTATTTTTTAGTTTAATAGAGTCACCAATGCTTTTCTCACATTTACTTAAGCTATTTTACTTATTGTCTTGCAAACCTGTATACAAGAAAAACTTTTCTGGGGGCTGGGAACGTAGCTCAGTGGTAGAGTGCATGCCTTGCAAGCATGAGGCCCTGGGTTCGATTCCTCAGCACCACATAAACAGAAAAAGCCGGAAGTGGCGCTGTGGCTCCAGTGGTAGAGCGCTAGCCTTGAACTGAAGAGCTGAGGAACAGCGCCCAGACCCAGAGTTCAGGCCCCATGACCGGCAAAAAAAAAAAAAAAAAAAAACTTTTCTGGAGGCTGGGAATGTGTCTTAGTGGTAGAATGGTAGAGCGCATGTCTCGCATGCATGAAGCCCTGGGTTCGGTTCCTCAGCATCACATACACAGAAAAAGCAGAAGTGGTGCTGTGGCTCAAGTAGTAGAGTGCTAGCCTTCAGCACAGAGAGGCTCAAGGAGTTCAAGCTCCAGGACTGGCAAAGAGAGGTGGGGGGAGGGAGAGATTTTTATTACTTTACAGAAAACTTATTTTTTGTAGTCAGATTTTATCAGCCATTTTTATTTTTTGCAATACCTTTTGAACTTCATATTCCTTCAGATACCCAACATGCATACTTTGTCAAGTTTTTCCTTAAACATGTAAAGGCCGAGTGTCAGTGACTCACGCCTGTAATCCTAACTACTCAGGAGGCTGAGATCTGAAAATTGGAGTTTGAAGGCAGCTTGGGCAGAAAAGTCTTTGAGAGAGTCTTATCTCCAATAAACTACTCAAAAAAGCCCATGCTGGCAATGTGGCTTAGCAGTAGAGTGCTTGCCTCGCATGCATGAAGCCCTGGGTTCAGTTCCTCAGTACCACATACACAGAAAAAGCTGGAAGGGGTTCAAGTGCCATCCTTGAGCAAAAAAAGCTCAGGGACAGTGCCCAGGCCCAGAATTCAAGCCCCAGGACTCACAAAAAAAAAAAAAAAGTTTTCCTTCAGTAGTACCTTCTTTCTTTAATAGCTACAGCGTCCATCTAGTCTTCTGTCCTTCAAGTTAAGATTTGTTAGGGTAGCCGGGCGCTGGTGGCTCACGCCTGTAATCCTAGCTACTCAGGAGGCTGAGATCTGAGGATCGCGGTTCAAAGCCAGCCCGGGCAGGAAAGACCGTGAGACTCCTATCTCCAATAAACCACCAGAAAACCGGAAGTGGCGCTGTAGCTCAAGTGGTAGAGCGCTTGCCTTGAGCTGAAGAGCTGAGGGACAGCGCTCAGGCCCAGAGTTCAAGCCCCACGACCGACAAAAAAAAAAAAAAAAGATTTGTTAGGGTATTTCATGACAGGGTGGGCACTAGTGGCTCATGCTTGTAATCCTAGCTACTGAGAGAACTGAGATCTGAGGATCATGGTTCAAAACCAGTGTAGGCAGGAAAGTCCTTGAGACTCATCTCCAATTTAACCACCAAAAGGCCAGAAGTGGAGCTATGGCTCAAATGGTAGAGTACTACCTTTGGGCACAAAAGCTCAGAGACAGTGCCCAGGCCCTGAGTTCAAGCCTCAGAATCAGCACCAGAAAAAAAGAGAGTATGTGGTAGAGCAAACCTGCTCATCCCTTTATACAACAAAGAGGGAGAATGTGAGAGCCTGAAAATCCAAGCTGTGAGACCCCGAAAGGATTGAGAGTGTGAAAGGCCTTTTCCCAATGTACTCTGAGAACGATGAGTTTCTTGGAAATACATCTGTCCTGGCTTAACGGGAATTCAGATTTCTATCCTGGCTGTCATCTAATCCATGCTGGGGGTAGATTAAGGTTTATGCAAATTGTAAGCTGTTTACTGTTTAAAGCTCTTGGAATGAGGTGGTCATCTACCACTTGTATACAAAAATACTGTTACGGTGAAGTTTATACCTTACTTTCTGCACATGCTGCCCTATACAAGACCAATGAAAACCTTGGTGAATGGAACCTTGGGATCTGAAGATGGTGGAAGGCTATAGGTCCTCTGGTACCCCAAACCTCAATTCTAAGGACTAGTCTCCGTTATTGCCTTGCTCCCAGTCCCGGTGGGTTGCAACAGGAGAAGATAGGGCTCTGGTCTCATTACCATCTTTGAGTAACACATTCAATGATCTAACAACCTCCTACTGGTCCACTTCCCGGGAGGTTCCACTTCCCAGGAGCACTGCCCTGAAGGGCCAAGCACTGCCCTGGGGTCCACACCTTTTTGGATGTGCTGAGGGTTGAACCCAGGAACACTAAGCTACACTCCGGCTTGGGGGACAATGCTTAAGATCCAGACTATATCAAGATGTTTGAATTCAGGATCTCTCACTTAGCGGGCAGGTGCTCCACCACTTGAGCCATGCCTCTGGCACTAACATACATTTAAGGCACACTAAGCTGTGTTTTTTTTGTGTGTGTGTGTGTTTTTTTGGTCCAGTCGTGGGGCCTGAACTCTGGGCCTGGGCGCTGTCCCTCAGCTCTTCAGCTCAAGGCTAGCGCTCTACCACTTGAGCCACAGTGCCACTTCCGGCTTTTTTTCTTTTTGCTTATGTGGTGCTGAGGAATCGAACCCAGGGCCACAGGCATGCAAGGCAAGCACTCTACCACTTCCCAGCCACCTTCCCAGCCCCTAAGCTGTGTCTTTTTATGGTTTGATAGTTTATTCCTTTTTGGTACCAAATAATAGTCAATTGTTTAGATGTGCCATTTGCTTACAGAGAGATATCTTGATTGCTGCTAAGGTTGGGCAATTATGAGTAAATCTGTTATTGGCATACATGTAAAAGTTTTTATATGGACATAAGCTTTCAAGTTGTTTGAGTAAATACCAAAGAGTACCATTGCTGGATCATATAGTAGGAGTGTTTGGTTTTGTAAGAAACTGACAAATTAGCTTCCCAAGTGCCTACCTTCCACTTTCCAGCCAGCCTGAGAGTTCCTGTTGCACCACATACTTGTTAGCATTTGGTGGTGTCAGTGTTTTGGATTCTGGTCATTCTAATAGGTGTAGGGGTGATACCTGACTTTGCTTGTACTGGCCTTAAAATCAATATTTTCCCTTCCTGCCTTCCATGTGCTACCACTTCCTGCTTGCTCTTTGTATTATCCTTATATCAAGAAATCTTGCTATAAATACCTATTAATCCTACAAATTTTGCTGGGATTCTGTTGTAGTATTTGGGCTGAACTCAGGCCCCTGGCACTTTCTAGAAGGCACTCTACCACTTAAGTCATGCCTCCAGCTCTCTGCGTTTATCATTTCACTTGATAATCGCCCAATTCAGAGAGTAGGAGACCTGCCGGGTCCCCCTATATCACACAGGCTGGCCTCACACCTACCCACTTACCCGAGTCCTGAGACTACAGATGTGTTCCAGAAACATAACCCATAAAATTAAGTAATGTTTCCTTGGTTTTCAGTGAACTTTCTTAGAAACCATCAAACCCAGAAATAATCATTGAAACCCCAATTTATAGCCTATTGGTGAGAATCATAGGTCATAACCTTGGACATCCAACTGGTAGGTAAAGACTGGCAGTCTTGCAGGACTGAGTCTATAGCCTGTTTTGGTGGAGAAGCTAGAGGTCACCTGGTGTCCAGCACTGGAAGAGTGGATGGATAAAATGATGTATTAGTGGGCAAACACATGGGACAAGAAGATGACTGAGTTGTTATAGGGAGAAGTTAGCTTTTTTGTTTTCTTGTTTCTTTTTTTGTGCTGGTCTTAGGGCTTGTACTCAGAGCCTGGGTGCTGTCCCTGAGCTTCTTTTGCTCAAAGCTAGCATTCCACCACTTAAGCCTCAGTGCTACTTGTGGCTTTTTCTGAGTAGTTTATTTGAGGTAAGAGTCTCATGGGCTTTCTTGCCTCCACTGGCTTCCAACCCGGATCTTCAGACCTCAGCCTCCTTGAGTAACTAGGATTACAGGTGTGAGCCACCAGGGTCTGGCTGTCCCCAAGTTTTTGTGCTTAAGGCTAGTGTTCCATCACTTGAGCCACAACTCCACTTCTGGCGTTTTTGGTGCGTAATTGATCATAGTCTCACAGACTGTCCTGCTCTAGCTGTTTTTGAACTGCGATCTTCACATCTCAGTCTCCTGACTAGCTAGAATCTGTCCTTTGTGGCAGAGGCCCAAACTTGACAGTTCAACAACAGCAACATGTCTCTGGCTTTGTGGGGGTGGAGAGGCAATGACACCAGTCCACCCCCATCCCAGGGTCCAGGTCCAGTTTCCTGGTGCTGAGAGGACAGCACTGCACACAGGGCAGTGTGTTCCAATAGTGCTAGTGGTAGTAGCCCAGAAACTGACCTTTCCAGTCTTCCCCAGGGCTTGGCACAGATGACTTACACCTATAATCCTAAGTATTCAGGAGACTGAAATCTGAGGATCATGGCTCAAATCTAGCTTGGGCAGGAAAATTCATAAGACTCTTAGCTCCAATAAACTACCAAAAATATCTGGAAGTGGATGTGTGGCTCAAATGGTAAAGCAACATAAGCTCATGGATGAGCTGGGAATGTGGCTCAGTGGTAGAGTGCTTGCCTAGCACACATAAAGCCCTGGGTTCCATTCCTCAGTACTACATAAACAGAAAAAGTGGTGCTGTGGCTCAAGTGGTAGAGTGCTAGCCTTGAGCAAAAGAAGCTCAGGGACAGTGCCCAGGATCTGAGTTCAAGCCCCAGGACTGGCAAAAAGAAAAAAGCTCAAGGACAGCAACTAGGCCCTGAGTTCAAGCCCCAGGACCAACAAAAATATATAAGAAAGTGCCTGTGGTTTTGTCTTCCATCCTTTCTGCTGAAAATAGCTGGAGACGTTGTTTCCTGAACTGCCTGCTTTCTGATTTGGGAATGGCTTGCCAGTGACAGAGTAAGTTAATTCTACAACTTGAGCTTAAAACTGGCCCTGCACTTTGACCCATAACCACTTCCACTGGTCCTGCCCCTTCTTTCCTCTCCTAGTCTGTCCCAGCCAAGAGAGCAAGACTGGCTCATAAGAAACCTGCGGGTTGGGAGCCCAGGGGCTCCAGAAGAGGCCCTTCCTCCAGGAGGGCTCAAGCCCAAGGTCCTTCTCCCACTCAGCACTGCTAGCTGTGGTGTCCAAGGCATCCTGGGGTCTTGTGTGGCCCCTGAAGACTGTGTTCTATGTGGGCAGGGAAAGCCACTACACGATGACAACATGCAACTCCCAATCAGCTGGTGATCTTGGTCAACCTCTTTGGCTTACAGGTTTCCTCATCTGTGAGGCCCTGAAAGCAGCTACAAGGTTGACACTAAGCAACATACCTGAAAATACTGGCTGGGCACTAGCAGCCATAGTTGGCCTCCATATAAGGGACCAAGTTATTCTAATGCAAGAAGAGACCTAAGCATAGACTGGGTTTCCGGGGAGGGGGCTGAGGCTAGGAGAAGCTAGCTTGATTTTAGCACAGATCACCCCCACCCCCATTCTGCCTGAAACCCTTCCTGGCAGGTTCCACTCAGCACAGTATGAGGAGCTGCTGATTCAGGCTGCCAGTCTGCCATCCTATGGAGCTGGGAAGGTTGGAAGACAGCACCCCCAGGTGAGGAAGCCCATGCTGCTGCTTCCCTCCTGCTTTGCTGAGTGGTCTTAGCGCATGCCCTCCAGAGATTCTGGACACAGCCTGAGCAGGAAGGAACTAGGGAGCCCGCATTTTTTGGGTTTCATCTACAACTTCTTTCTTTCTTTTTTTTTGGTCGGCCGTGGGGCTTGAACTCTGGGCCTGGGCGCTGTCCCTCAGCTCTTCAGCTCAAGGCAAGCACTCTACCACTTGAGCTACAGCGCCACTTCCGGTTTTCTGGTGGTTTATTGGAGATAGGAGTCTCACGGTCTCTCCTGCCCGGGCTGGCTTTGAACCGCGATCCTCAGATCTCAGCCTCCTGAGTAGCTAGGATTACAGGCGTGAGCCACCAGCGCCCAGCTCATCTACAACTTCTTTCTGTGTGTGCCAGTTCTGGAACTTCAGCTCGGCCTAGATGCTATTCCACGGCTAGTTCCATTGTCTATCTTTTTTTTTTTTTTTGCTAGTAAACTAGAAAGAAGAGTCCCATAGACTTTCTGCCTGGGCTGGCTTTGAAAATCCTCAGATCTCAGCCTCCTGAGTAGCAAGGATTATACTCATGAGCAACCAATGCCCAGCGTTAGTCTGGAACTTTCTTGGGGCCTATGATCCCACCCTAGTGAGCCTGTTCCTATCCAGGGTTCAAGAGTAAACAAGCCCAATAAGGGTTACTGGCAGTTACAGGTTTTTATGGAACAAGAGCTCCAGACGCATGGCCTCTTTGTAGCCCATCTAAGGTCAGTCCCTACAAAGACCATAGTCCTGCTCCACATGAGCTCCTGGGGCTCACTCAGCAGGCTGAAAGCCCACGGAGGTAGTCACCAGCCAGTGGCAGCACAGCCCAGTCATCTGTCCGCAGAGCCACGGGCACTCCATCCCTGCGGGCCATCTCCAGCCGCAGCAGCAGCATGGAGTCCGGAGGCAGCCGGACAGCTATGTGGTAGCTGGTGGGAGGCTGTGCCACCACTACAAAGGGCCCTAGGTGGCGGGCCACCAAAGTCTCCAGGCTCTGTGGCCCAAGTGGGCACCACACACGGCTTTCTGCACCCTTTGGTAGGCAAGAGTCCCAGAGCTCCTCAAAGAAGTTCGATTCAGCCCCCTTGGGGGCCTGGGGGAAAGGAAGAAAGAGGTCAGCGAAGCTCACTGCCAGGGGTGGCAGGCAGGCGTGGCAGGTGAGGCCAGCAGGTGTAGTGTACAGGGCCTGGACATCCAGCTGTGCAGGGACTGGGCATCGAGGCTGCAGGGACAGGGACAGAGGGTGGGCGGGGCGGCCAGGACACAGGCAGGGCACGTGGATGGCCTCCAAGGGACCATAGAGCTGTCCTTCCACATGGAAGCGCAGCTCCAGGGAATAGACAGGCTCCAGCGTCTCCACCTGGAGCTGGAGCACTGGGAATGGGCCTTTTGCCCTCTGGGGCCCGAGGCTCAGCTGAATTGGGGCCGGGGTCTCCTGTACCATCAGTGTTGCTGTAAAGCCCTGGTTCTCAGCCACCAGGGATGAGGCCAGTGCAGGCACAGCAAGGGAGGGGCCCAGTGCCATTCCCAACTTGGGCTCTGCCAGGTGGGCTAAAAGGATGTAGTACAGACGGGCATGATCCCGCCCATCAGGGTCCTCTAGCTGTCTGGCCAACACCTGCAGCAAATCCGCCAGGCCAGCACCTCCACTTGTCTGCAGCAAGACCCGGCAGACCCCCAGCAGAGCCTGCTGCAGGCCCCAGTCAGTGCAGTGAGTGGCTGCAGCCTGCAGGAAGCTGAGGGTGGCGTTCTGAGCATCCCCTCCTGCCACCTTCGCCAGCATGTGCAGATGCCAGCGAAGAGCTTCATCCCGGACTGGCCTGGACACCACTTCCTGCCTCAGCACCTGTCTGAGGGGCTCCCTGAGTTCAGGCCCCAACTGATCCAACAAGTCCACAAAGTGGGGCGCAAGCACAGGCCGAGCTTGGTAAAGTTGAGCCAGTCCATGGATCAAGGGTGTTACCACTGCAGGTTGCTTGGCCAGGCAGCTGGCAACCAGGTAGGAGGCCTGGAAACAGAGAATGGCCAGTGCGCGGGGTCCACCCTCCAGAGCTGCCCTCTGCCGCAAGCCAGCCAGCAGCTCCTCCAGGTACCGCTGTGGGCTCTGGACTAGGCCTTTCTCCTCGTCCTCGTCTTCGGCACAGCATAGGCACAGCAAATGCAGGCGGGCCAGGAGGGCCATCGGCTCATGCAGGAGGCTGGGCATGAGGCTGCGGCACAGCTGGGGTCCCAGCAGCAGCGGGGCAGCCTCCTCCCCCTCCGGGCCCAGCGGCCAGTTCTCAGGGAAGGTCAGGATACAGTGCAGGTAGAAGAGATGTGTGGGTTGGGGTAGGGATGGGTGCTGGGCTGCCAGGGTGAGCCGGCGGAGCAGCAGGGCCTCATCCTGGGCAGTGAACAGCGCCTCACCAAAAGCTGCCTTGAGAGCCAGAATAGAGTGCAGCAGGGCCAGCTGCGCTGTTCCCAGCAGGCGAACCAGTTGTGGCTTGAAGAGCACTGGTGGCTGAGTCCGCAGACCTCGCAGGGCCCAGCCCAGAAGCCACAGAAGCTGGGCCTGGGCCACAGGAGTGAGCAGGTAGGAAGCGTCCAGCAGCTGGGCCACAGTGGCCCTCAGCTCCTGGGTGTCTTCGGAGCTGGGTTCTCCCTCTGCAGGGCCCTGCTCCCCTTCAGCTGTCGGCCAGCAGGGTGCCTGGGGCTGAAGGCGGGCATCTCCTTTGGCCAGTGTCCAGTCCCAGGCGCTGCCCCTGCAGGAGACCCCTGCCAGCAGCAGGCTGTGCAGTCCAGCCCCAGACCTGCCGCGGACCAGCAGCGTGTGGCGCAGCGCCAGCGCCAGCAGCAGGCTGAGGGGCTGCACAGGACCCCCTTGCCCCAGCAGGCTCCGCAGTGGCCCAAGGCTGCCCCCCAGCAGCCCAGGCTGGCAGCTCTCCAGCTCGCGAAGGCACTCGCACGCCGTGGCCTGCAGGGGGCGCTGTTCCGAGGCGGGGCCAAAGCTTCGCCCTACATCCCGGCCGGAGGCCAGGCCGAGCAGGAGCGGCAGGAGCCGGCCGGAAGCTCCCGAGCTGGGGCCCAGGGCGCCGCCTGCCACCAGGACGGTGGTAGTGGCCAGCAACAGGGGCCGTCGGAGGGCTGAGGGTCGCGGGGGCAGGAGAACGAGGGTGTCCAACAGGGAGGTGGCGGCCGCCTCTGCCGCAGGGGCGTCAGGCCACAGCTGGGCTGGGTACTCCAAGCTCAGGGCCAGCAGGGAAACCTGGGGTGGAGGATTGAGGAGGTGAAAGGCCTGGAGACAGGTTCCGCGGGGTGACGGGCAGGGGCCGCGCGGGGCCTACCTTAGTCGGCTCGCTCAGCTTCTCGCTCCTCAGGTCACTCAGCAGGTCACGACCCAGGTGCTCGCCCTCGGCCCCGGCCAGGAAGGCGGCAGGGCTGGCTCGGAAGGCCCCCAGGCGCTGGGCCCAGGCGTCCCGGCTCTGGGGCCCCATGGCGGGGCTCGCCGCCCAGCGGGGAGAGCGGCGGCCGCGGGCGGCCGCCGGGGGGCGCCCCGGGGCCGCTGTCACCGGGACCACCTGGCCGAGCCCGGCGGGGACCTCGCCCCGGCGCCCAGCCCAGCCGGGAGGTCACGGGTTGACACGGCGGGAGCGCCGGCGATCCGGGCGGGCGCGTGCCCGGAGCTCCCGGGGCCGCCCGGCCGCCCGTCCGCGCCGGCCCCGAGCCCACAGAGCCGCCCGCGGTAACGGGCCGGCCTCTCACCGGCTGACTCACCGCTGCGGGCGTCGGGCCGGCCGGGCCGGCTCCTTCCGGGAGGGCGGGCCCGCGGCGTGGGGCGGGGTGCCCGGCGCGTGGGCGGTGGGGCCCGGGCAGGCCCGGGGCGGGGCGTAACGGGGCGCCGCCTGCCCCGCCCGCCGCCCGGCAGGTGTGGGCTCGCCGGTTTCGCTGAGGCTGAGTAACTGTCCGCCGCGCAGGCCTCCTTCCCCGAAACCGCCGCAGGCACGCGCAGGGGCGGTGGAGCGGGGTAGGCCGGGCTTCCCGACCGGGGCCCGGATCCCAGCACCTCGGGCGCACAGCGGCCCGGGCGGGTCACGAAGGCCGTCAGCGCGCCCCCCGCCGGCCGCCGGGCGCACTGCGTGCGGCGCGCGGGTCCTCCGGCCGCCGCTCGGGGGCGCGCGAGGCGCGGGCGCCGCGGGAAGAGCGTGCGGCCGCCGCCGAACCGGTCCGACCGGCGCCGCGGAGCTCTGCTTCGCGTCCCCGACGCCAGCCCGGCCCCCAGCCCGTCCGGATTGGGGGCGAGGAGGGCCTGATCGCGGGGTTGTAGCTGCTGACCTTTGCCCGAGGTCGGCAGGGGTCCCGCGGGCGGGCTGGCATCAAGCCTGAGGGGCAAGGCCCTGAGCCCAAGGGAAGCGGGAAGACAACGGGATCCAGGGCCCGGTGGGCCGCAGGGCCAGCCGCGGAGCCCAGGCCCGCACCCAACACGGGAGCCAAGGCCGGGCGACCTGAGACCTGGGGCCAAGCAGGTCCTGAGCCCAGCACCTGAATCCTGGCTGTTTGGGGTGACCTGAGGCTCAGCAGGCAGGGCCCGGGCCGCGGGCGCCCCACTGACCGCTGGTTTCCAAGACACAGAACCTCAGGCGTCCGGACCTCACCAGCCTGACGCCTCTGGCTCTAATGAGCCGCTTTGAAGATGAAACGCTTGAGCCCCTATGCCAGCCGCGGCCAACCTGCCTCTGCTTCCTCCAGGCTGCCCCAAACCCTCCCGCCCCCTCGTGCTGCGGCTGCACATGGGAGCGGTGGGTAAAAGGCTGGAAAGGAGGTGTCTGTCTGCCCAGGGAGGGGCAGGTGGGGTGTGAGGGATGGAGACAGGATGCCACCGGGAGGGACAGGTCTAGCCAGAAGGCCTGGTCCCGGTTCCCCGGCTCTGGCTCCACAGCTGACTCACAGGCGACAGCCCCACACCACTTCCCTCTAGATGCCTCAGTTTCCCCATCTATAAAATGGGAGTGATGACTCCTGCCCAAAGGGCTGTGGGGTGGGGCGCCTGGCTAATTAAACCTAAGATGAAAGAGGCCAGGATGAGAGCAGCCCTGGGAGGGAGGCTGCTGGCGTGGAGCCTGTCTGGTTTCCCTGTCTGGGGGGGGGGGGGGGGGAGGCAGAGATGATAACTGCATGGCTGTCTCACCACTTGCCAGGGCCCGGAACCATTATTAAGGCTGGCCTCTCTTCTGAGGGTCAGGGAGGCCAACCCTGGCTCTGGCCCAGCCTCTGACAGCATGGCCTCTGTCAACCTCCTTCTCCTCTTTCTTGGGGCTTTGTGACCCCAGGTGGTTTCCAGAACCATGACAGGCACAGCCTCATGGATGCTGGGGTACCCGGGGTAGGAGAGCAGAAACAGTCATTGGCACCAAGTCCCAGGGCTCCTAAGAGGTGGAGCTGCCTTTCTTCAAAAAGCCCCTGACACACACCTGCCATCTTGAGCCCTCTTGGGTGTCCAGGGTTCCTGGATGGGCCATGCCTGCCAGCACTGGTGTCTGGGGAATAGAGGGTGACAGGCGCTCATGTGCACCACTTTGTTGTTTTTGTGTCAGGCCTGGAACTTGAACTTGGGGTTTGGGCACTATCCTTGAGCTGCTCTGCTCAAGGCTAGTGCTCTATCACTAGAACTCCACTTCTGTTTTTGTGGCTAATTGGAGATAAGAAGCTCATGGGCTTCTTTGCCTGGGCTGGCTTTGAACCAGGATCCTCAGATCTCAGCCTCCTGACTAGCTAGGATTATAGACAGGAGCTACCAGCACCCAGCCAGATTTTCTTTTGAGGCAAAGAAAATTCTGAACTTAGCGGTAATGGTTGTGAGACTCAGGAGACTTAACAACCATTGAACTGTATTCTTTACAAAATAATGGATTTAATGGCATGTAAATTATATTTAAATAAGTGATTTAAAATGGTATTACAAATGGCATCCCACATACAGAACTACCAATGGTGGAGAGGAAACATTTAAACTAACCCAAATGTCACAGTGAAAGGCACTGCCAAGAAAACAGAATCAAATCAGGGCAGGGAGTTTAGCTGGGCATCAGAGGGGCCTCTCTGAAGAAAGGACTTGAGTGGGGACAGGAAGCCTGTTACCTGGCAGTGGCAGGAAATGCCGCAGACAGGAGCCCCGGGAGAGGCTCCTCTGGGACCGGGCTTCAGCAGCCGAGGGAAGGAGAGGGCCAGCGGGGTGCTACGGTGCTGCAGAGGAGGCCAGTGAGGCGTGAGTTCTTACCAAATGTGGGGGCTGGCTGTGCGGCTGGGGACAGGTGAACGGTGGCTTGGCACTGCCATGGGAGCTGCTGGGATTTGGTGGTAGACATGACGTGGGGGGGGGGAGGGCGGGACAGTGAGCTTGTTTCAGGCCTTGAGCACTTGGAGGCTGGGAGCCATAGCCAACCATAGGGCTATGATATGGCCGACCGAATTCCTTGGTGCTCTCTGCCCCAGGAGCTGAGATTGCACAAAGCTACCTCCTCTGCCATAACCACAAAGGGTATGACACCCTCTAACAGTCCCCAGTGACCCTGCTCACACACACACAGAGGCCCAAGACAGGAATTCCCCCAAGAGATGGAACAGTCTGCTAACGTTTGAGCCAACCAGAGGCTTCATGTCTGCTGTAAAGCCGAGTCCCTTGCTGTTCTTCAGGACAAAAGCCAATTTGAAGCACAGTTCCCCGACCCCCCCTTCTTTGTGTTGATACTGGGACTTGAACTCCGTGCCTGAGTGCTGTCCCTGAGCTTTTTCTGCTCAAGGCTAGCGCTCTGCTTCAAATCACAGCTCTACTTCGGGCTTTTGGCTGTTTAGAGATAAAGGGTCTCACAGATTTTCCTGCCTGCACTGGCTTTGAACTTCCATCCTCAGTTCTCAGCCTCCTGAGTAGCTCGGATTCTGGGTGTGAGCCCCCGGTGCCTGGCTGATCCAGTGTCTTAACTGCTGCAAGGCAGGACTAGAATTAGAAGTCCCACTTCATATAGGAAGTGATACTTTCACAGGTGAAACCGAGGCTCTGAGAAAGCAGGTAGCTTTGCTCAAGTTCCTAGACAGTAAGCGTGTCTGCATCGGGATCCTTCCTGACTGTCTATTCAGCACATCTCCCATGAGCCTTTGAGCCTCCAGGATCCCCTTCACACTGCCATCCCAGCCTGGCTTCTCCAGATTTTCCTCAAAACAGGAAGGGCTGGTCTGGCCTTCTCCCCCATTATCCAAATCCCATCTGAGTGTCTCTGGAGCCTCAGGACGGGAGCTAAGTGTGAAATCTGGGAGCATGTGGCCACGCCTCTGCCCACTGTACCGGCAACAGCTGACCACTGAAGCCTGGCACCGGTGCCTCACGCCTGTTAATCCTAACGACTCAGGAGGCTGAGATCTGAGGCTCACCCTTTGAAGCCAGCCTGGGCAGAAAACTCTGTGAGACCTTTATTTCCAAATAAACAAAAAGCTGAAGTGAAACATGGCTCAAGTGGGAGAGCACTAGCCTTGAGCAAGAAGCTCAAGGACAGCACTCAGGTCCTGAGTTCAAGCTCCAGGACTAGCATGAGAGAAACGGAGATAAACAGAGATAGAGACAGAGACAGAGGGAGGGAGGGAGAGAGAGACAGGGAGGGAGAAAGGGGGGAAGGGAAAGGGGATGAGGAGAGAGGGGGAGAGAGAGAGAGAGAATGTCCACTCAGGTCCTCCTGGCTGTTTGCAGGCCACCACCGTGCTCAGACCATTGTAGTGGCTCCATTACTGGCCTTTCTACTCCCACCAACACACACAAGCCCATTCACCCCGTAGCAGGTCCGGTGGCTTTGGGAGCCAATGGAGGGCCCCTGCCTCTCCTGCCTCACCCCTCCCCTTCAGCATGCAGTCAGGGGCCCTGGCGCCCACGCTTCCCCTGCTGGCCATGCTCTTACCTGCTCTGCACAGCTGGCTCCAAGCTCTCACTGCCATCTGGGCGCCTACACGGGCTGCCATCACTAAACTGGTCTGTGTGGCATAAGTTCCTTATTTCTTTGCCTTGCATTGCAGACGCCCCAGAGACCAGCACGTAGTTGGAACCCACAAAAATACCTGTTAATGGAATTAAGATAGGAAGAATGACACCTGGCTGGCCTCATGCCTATGAACGGTGACAGAGCAGAGCCTCGGGTCCTCACGCTGCCCGGCACTGAGCTCCAGGCTCGCATGCCTTATGTAAGGCCAGAGTTGCTCCGTTGCCCACAAACTGCAGCCTGTAGATCAAATCTGACCCTCAGAAGTGGTTTTTTTTTTTTTTGGGGGGGGGGGTCCGGTTGTGGGGCCTGAACTCTGGGCCTGGGCGCTGTCCCTCAGCTCTTCAGCTCAAGGCTAGCACTCTACCACTTGAGCCACAGCACCACTTCTGGCTTTTTTTTTCTTTTTGCTTATGTGATGCTGAGGAATCGAACTCAGGGCCTCATGCATGCAAGGCAAACGCTCTACCACAAAGCCACCTTCCCAGCCCCACAAGTGTTTTGTTTGGCCCAGTCTATTTTTGTTTTTATGCCTGTACTGAGGCTTGAGCTCAGGGCCTCTAGCTTGCTTAGCTGGCACTCTACCATCTGAACCACATGTCTGGTCCTGCTTTTTTGCTAGTTAACTGAAGATGGGATTCTCATAGCCTTGTCTGTGTGGGTTGACTTTTAACAGCGTTCTTCCAGATCTCTGCCTCCTAAGTAGCTAGAATTTTATAGCTGTGAGTCACCAGCCCTGAACTATTTTTAAGTTTTTTATTAGCATATATTAATTGTACAAAGGGTTTCATAGTGATATTTACAAAGTACCATGCATGATGTACTTTGATCAAATTTACCCATCTCTCTTACCCTCCTTTCTCACTTTTTAGGTTTTTTTCTGAATTTCATTCTGTTCTTCTTGTATGCATTATTGCACATATGTACGCGCACATAGGTCCTGGGGCTGTCCCTGAGCTTTTGTGCTCAAGGCTAATACTTTACCATTTAAGCCACAACTCTGCTTCTGGCTTTTGAGGAGTGAATTGGAGAGACAATTCTCACGATCCTGGTGCTGATGGCTCACACCTGTAATCCAGCTACTCAGGAGGCTGAGTTCCAAAGATTGTGTTTCAAAGCCAGCCTGGGCAAGAAAGTAAGACTTTTATCTCCAATTAACCACCAGAAAATTAGAAGTGGCACTAAGGCTCAACGTGGTAAAGAACTAGCCTTAAGCAAAAGAGCTCAGGAATAGTACCATGCCCCCAGTTCAAGCCCCACAACCAATAAAAAATATTTAAAAAGTGTTTCATGGACTTTTCTACCCAGGCTGGCTTTGAGCCTCAATCCTCAGATCTCAGCCTCCTGAGCAGCTAAGATTACAGGTGTGAGCCACTTACACCCAGCCAACTAATGTACTTTTAGCATGCTCATTTCCATTGTCCTTTATTTCCTTTTTTCCCTTCTGCTGGTTCTTCACTTAGAAAACAATCCTTCTTTTACAATCATGTCATATTTCTGTTGTTTGTAGGTCTAACCCAGTTTGCTTATTTATTTATTGGGGTGGAACCAGGCTTTAACTCAGGGCCTTGCTTGTCTTTTTCACTCAAGCCTCTCAGATCTGTGTCCATGGACTGGCTTTGAACTGTGATCCTCATATCTCAGCCTCCTGAGTAGCTAGGATTACAAGTGTGTTCCACCCAAGCCCAGCTTCTGGCTTTTTAAAATTGGAGATAAGAGTCTCACAGATACAGGGACATGAGACGTTGCCAATTAATCACAGAAAAATCCAGAAGTATCACTGTGGCTTAAGTGGTAGAGCGCTAGTCTTGAACCAAAGGAGCTCAGGGACAGCATCTAGGCCCAGAGTTCAAGCCCCAGGACTGGCAAAAAAAAAAAAAAAAAATTATAGACTTTCCTGAATCAGCTGGCTTGAACCTCAATTCCCAGATCTCAGCCTCTTGAGCAGCTAGGATTACAGGTGTGAGTCACCAGTGTCCCAGGCTTGAACCCTGGGTCCAAGCACTGTTCCTCAGCTCTTCAGCTCAAGGGGAGCGCTCTACCACGAGAGCTACGGTGCCACTTCCGGTTTTCTGGTGGTTTATTGGAGATAAGAATCTCACAGCCTTTCCTGCCTGGGCTGGCTTTGAACCAGGATCCTCAGATCTCAGCCTCCTGGGTAGCTAGGATTATAGGCATGAGCCACGGGTGCCCTGCTCATCTTCGTTTTTAATGTGAGTAAACATTAAAAATTATTTTTCACATACAAATCTGGATCTCCATTTTTGTAGGGGTGTGTGTGTGTAAGAAAAATGTAATGATGTGGCCATGACTGTCTTACCTGAACCACATACTTGTGATTGCCTTGTGGGTGGGCATGTTCTCCACAGTACCCACCACTCCTTTGTCTTCCCAACAGCTAGAATCATTTCCTTTTTATTACTAAGCTGGCACTATCATTTTCCATATCATAAGGAGATCTGCTGTGTAGCCGTCATTACTACCACTTGGAACATGAAAGAGGAAGTACGATACTGGACGGGCACTTGAGGCTCAGACTTGAGGCTGAGACCTGAGGATCATGGTTTGAAGCCAGCCTAAGTGGGAAAGTCTGTGAGACTCTTATCTCTGATTAGCTAGCAAAAAGCAAAAACACAGAAGCAGAGTTGTAGCTCAAGTGGTAGAGTGCCAGCCTTGAGAAAAAGCCTAAAACCACGCAGGGCCTGAGTTCAGGTCCTAGTACCAGCATGGGAAAGAGAGAGGGAGGGAGAAAGTGTGTGTGTGTGTGTGTGTGTGTGTGTGTGTGACAGAGAGAGAGAGAGAGAGAGAGAGAGAACAAAGAACGCAAAAAGAAAAAGGTCCATGATCAGAGTAGAGGATGGAGAGGGAAGGTTTGGGACAGGCAGAATCCCTGGAAAGGAAGGAAGGGAAGGGGATAAACACTACAGCCTAGAACCTTCTTGCAAGAGCTCCTATCTTTCCTAGTAATGCTAGGAGGTGTGTGACAGAATTCTCACCGGCCAAACTGGAAAGGTCCTTGGACACCTTCTCCTTCAATGAGCAAGAATCCATCTGTCCCCAGATTCCATCCTTCCCTCACCCACAGGCTCAACAGACTGTGCAGAGACTACAGGCCTCCTTGCTTTCGAAAGAATGCCACCTGCACCCAGAAGTCTGAGAACTCACATCAGCCACTTCATTTCTTCTTTTTTTTGGGGGGGGAGGCTGGGGGGCACACTACTTGAACCACACACTACTTCATTTTTGCTTTTAGTTTGTTTTCAGAGAAGGTGTTTAGTTTTTGTTTTTCTGCCACTACTAGGGCTTGAACTCAGGGCCTTGTGCTTTCAACTTGGCTTTTGCAGCTCAAGGCTTAGTGGAGCCACATCTCTATGTCTGGCTTTTTTGGGGAGGTTAACTGGAGATAAGTTTCCTAGACTTTTCTGCCCGGGTTGGTTTGGAACCCTGATCTTAGATCCCAGCCTCCTGAATGACTGCAATTCACCTCCTGCTCATGCTGACTCCTGACTTTTTGAACTGGGTGCATTCATTGGTCAGATTCATTTCCTCCCAATCTGTTCCAGCAACCATTTAATACTATATGATAAAGGGACTCAAATGTTAGGTCCCACCCTTACTCTTTAGGTTAATCAATGAAAGAAGCACAGTCATGGCTAAAGTGCCACGGTTAAGTGGCTCTTGGTGGCCAATCAGCCCTCCTGGACAGGCGATGGGGGCGGGACACCCCCACCCGGGCCTGGGTGGATGGCGGCGAGGAGGTCCCTGGCTGAATCTCTCGGCAGGTCACCAGCATTAGGAAAAAGACTAGGTCTGACCCATCCGGGGCCCCGACCCTCAGCCCTCCTCTGACCCTGGCTGCATCTGCGCTCTGGCAGTTTAGGACCAGGAAAGCCACTAGTCAAAGCTCTGACGTTTGGGGGCTCTCAGCCGACCCAATGAATTCGACTAGGTCTCCGGTTTTGCGGTGTAGGCGGTCCCCGCCTCCCCGAACACCGGGGGGGGGGCGGGCCCAGAGCGGATCTGAGGATCCCGGGCCGCCTGGGCGCAGGCCCGGGCCGTCCCGTCCCCTCCCGGCGGGAGGCTTCGCGCCTCCTCGGGCGCCCGGGGCTGAGCCCAGCCCAGTTGGGCGAGTTTCATTTCATCACCGCGGAGCGTGCGAGCGAGCGCCGGTGCAAATAACGTTGCCCTCCCCGCCCTCCTCTTTCCCGCCCCGTCTCCGAAACTCGCCGGGCTGGGAAGGCCGGGGCCGGGGAGGGGGGGCGGGGGGGGGGGCGAGGCGGGGAGCCGGGCCGGCCCCGCGGGGGCAGCCGGGGCCGCTGAGAGCCCGAGCCGGCGCCCGCCGCCCGCCCCCGGCCGGCCGCCCCGCCCGGGCCGCGAGGCCACCTCACCGGCAGCGGAATGGAAACCGGTTCGACAGGTAACAAATAGGTGGGTTGTCACCGTTATTTCCCAACGCATGCGCCATCGCTCTCCCGGCCACTCGGAGCTAATTAGATCCGATCCACACCCCCGCCCGCCCCCGCCCCGCCACCGCCACGCACCGCCGCGGGCCAATAAAGCGTGAACCCGTCGGGCCGGCTCGCACTTGAAGCCTCGCCGAGCCGGCCGCGGGGACAGCAGCCGAACCCGGAGACGCCGAGCCGCCCGGTGCACCCGGCTGCAGGGGCTCCGCTCCGGACGGAGGACCGAGACCGTCGGCGGAGTGGGCTGTGGCGCGCGCCGTCCGGGCACCGTCTTTGCGCGGAGCGCGGGAGCCCCCGCGGCGCCTCCTGCCCCGGAGCCGTTCTCCACCCGCCCCGTCGCCCCGCGCTTCCAGCCCGGCCCGGGGGCCGGCGCCGAACTGAGTTACGGAAGCGCCCGGCGCGAGACTCTCAGGGTTCGAAAATGCCCCGCGCGTTCCTGGTGAAGAAGCCGTGCGTCTCCACGTGCAAGCGGAACTGGAGCGAGCTCCCGGACGAGGAGCGCGGCGAGATCTACGTGCCAGGTGCGGCGCGGCGCGGCGCGGGAGGGCGGACCGGAGGGCGGGCGGGGGCCGGCCGTTGGGGCGCGGGGCTCGGCGCGGCCGTGGCCCCGTTAGCCCGCGCCGGGCACGGGGCGGGGGGCGGAGGCAGCGGGGTGTGGCACCCCCGGCGACCCCCTCCTCCGGCCCTCACACCGTAAATCCAGAAAGCGGGGACGTCGATGGGGGCGGGCGAGGGGCCCCGGGGGGAGATCAATCCCCACACACACTAGGGGTCCGATCGGGGCTGGGGCGGGCGCGGCTCCCGCTCGGCGAGGCGCGATTCCCGGAGCGGGGAGGGGGGAACGGGGGAGGGGGGGACGGCGAGCGGCGCCCGCTACACCCGCCTGCCCTTGGAGACAAACGTGGGGTCCGGTCTCACCTCCGTCACCCACCTTCAACCTTGCCGAGGACGCCGCGGGGAGGGGGGAGAAGAGGGTCCCAGAAGTGCGCCCCACGGCCGGGGACGGGCACCAGGAAACTGGTGCGCCCAGTTTATTTCGAGAAGACGCCTTGACAGCGTCCGCGTCCACTTGGAATGAGTAACCCGCGTTGTATCACACACCCCCCACCCGCTGCATCTTCCGGTGTCCTCAAGGCACTCCTGCGCTCCCATCCTGCTCTTTTGGTGTGGAGGCGCCGGTGCCTGGGCGCCCCGCTGCCCCGCGGTGGGGGTGGGGCGGGGGCGCGCTGCCCAGCGCCTCCAAGAGGGGGTGGGGGTGGGAAGAGGTGGTAATTAACCAACCGACTTTGACCCTTGATCCGCAGGCTCTCTGGCACCGCCCAGGCCTTTAAGAAAGTCGGGAAGTGAGGGCAGTGGGTGAGGGGCTCTGTGAAGCCTCTGGCCTCAGTTTCCCTCTTGGAAATGCTAGTGGAGATGTGTCACGGTGAGCTCTTTGTGGCCTGGCCTTCCAGGATCGCTTGGCTAGTGTCACTGACTTAACGTGTTCCCAAGAGGATAGGGCCACACTTCGGCAGCCTCCTTAAACGGAGGAATGGGCCCGAAGGCTTGATGGCCCCAGTAGAGAAAAGGGAGGCCAAAAGGGAAGTAGTTGGTGGCTCCTCACCTGAGCTGTGGGCTCAGGACTCTAGTTCTTCCCTGCCAAGGACCCTGGCTAGCTGGCCAGTGCTCCACCTCCGGAAGAGCCACGGAGGCCGGCAGCCCCTTCCTTGCTCCTGCCTCCTCCCCAACCTGTGTTTGACTTGCTGCTTAGCTGCTCCTTGGGATCTGATAAACTGAACTTGGACTGTGTGAAAGGTGAGCTGAGCCTTGAGCCAGGCTCGGTGCGCTGTTATTTTTAGTTTTATTTCACATCCCAATCAGTACCAGATCATGTGTTGACTTTTATGAAGGACAAAGAAATTCCGTTTGTTCAAGTCTTCTTTGAGTCCTAGTGATTTCCTCACCACCCCAGTTTTGGTGCCCCTGGGACCCATCCTGTCAGGTGCAGAGGTGGCCTTGGGTGGTCCATGTCCCCTGCTGCTCTTACCCAGGTGAGGGGACACACAAGTGCTGGCTTGGGCAGGACGCAGCCAACCTGCCCATGTGCAGGACAGCTGGTAAGAATTTCCCATGTGCGTGGTACGAAGCCCGTGGATCAAGTGAAGGGTTACTGCAGAACTTCATTTCCCCTGCCTCAACCCCCCGTCGTCCACTGGAGAGCTTTCCCACCCTTTTTGGAAATAAAGGAAACGTCCTCCGTCCACGCTTGGGTGCCTCATGGCTGGAGAGCAGGGGGTGTGTTTTGTGGTGGCTGGTCCCCTGGCTGGGCCATTCCATCACCAGCCAACCATGACCCCGGGAGCCAGCCCAGCACGTTTCCGTCACCCCTCCTCACAGAACCCTGGCACACTGACTGGTTGAGCACTGACCCCATTCCCGCTTTTGCACTGGGAGGGCCAGGGAACGTGGTGGGAGCATGTGAGTTCTGTCCTTCCCACCAAGGCCCTCTGAGACCCTCAAGGCATCACAGGGACCCCTCCTGAAGGAAGATGGTTGGACTGGACTCAAGGTGTTGGGCCTAGCCTGGCAGCTGTAACTCACAATTGCACCAGCCTTTTGCATATAAAATTCTAGCGGTTGCTCTCGCAGAGGAGACTCCTTCAGCCCTGCTGTCCTCCCAAAGTGGAGGGGACAGCCCAGGCTAGAGGACAGACTGAGGGAAGTGTCGTGTCCCACTGGTTAGGATGGCCAGCCCCACTGGCCTCTCCTCTCCCCGTGTGGGCTTCTCTCCTTGATTGTGTCGGTATGGAGTAAGGCGGGGTTGGGGGGTGAGGGGTTTGCTGGCTCCCTGAGGATGAAGCAGGCACCTGTACCTATGGGTAAATTCCATGTCTTGGCTGGGAAAAGCTCCAGAAACAGCAAGTAACTGGTTTTGAGACTGAGTCTTAAGGCCAAGGCACTTGGACACAGCCTGTACCCAGCCTGAAAGCTGGAACTCCAGGATCATCCTACAGACCTTCCAAACTCCAGACACCGCCCCCTCCCTTTTTTTTTTTTTTGCTAGTCCTGAGGCTTGAACTCAGGGTCTGGGCACTGTCCCTGAGCTTCTTTTGCTCAAGGCTAGCACTCTACCACTTGAGCCACAGCATCACTTCTGGCTTTTTCTGTGTATGTGGTACTGAGGATCCAAACCCAGGGCTTCATGCCTGCTAGGCAAGCCCTCTACCATGAAGCCACACTCCCAACCCCACATCCCTACTCTGAGTCTCCCCTATGCCACTGATCCCGCCCCACAAGCCCCAGAGGCCAGCCGGGCTTTCCTTCTGTAATGCCGTCCAGCCAGGCTCTGCTGCTGGCTTGTGTGGGGATTTGGTGGATGTTTACAGGCTGGGTAGGAGTAACCCAGGAAGTCAGATGTGCCCTCCTCACGGGACTTGGCGGGGGGGGGGGGGGGGGGATGTGGAGATACAGGGCCTCCACTGAGTATTGCAGCGATGGCTGGGAGCGTGGGACAGTGAAGGAGGACTCAATAGTCATCCCTCCAGGGAGTAAGGCAGTGAGGCTGGGAGAGGGACCTCAGCCAATACACGGGGACGGAAGGCATGCCAGCATGCCAGCAGTGGACCAGTTGGGACTCTTTCCTGTCCCATGGGGCATGATCACTTAAGCCACTAAACTGTCTGAACGAGGGTGTCCTGAGGCAGAAGTGGCCAGACTGTCTGTCCCAGAAAGCAAGCGGCCTCAGAGAGTGAAGTCTGGCCAATGCTGGTGCTGGTTCTCTGTCCCCTCCGGGCACTCAGACCTGTGCAGGTGGGAGCTGCAAAGGAGACTCAGTACAGCTCCTGCAGCTTGAGGGCCAGGCGCCGGGGTGAAGGGACAAGTTCTAACTTTGTTTTGGATGCTGAATGAAAAACATCAGGAAATGGGACCAAGTTTATTGCTCTAAAGAAGAATCTGGCACTAAACAGGAGAGCAATAGGCTAAGACAGGAGGCCACCTGTGCCCACTAGCTGAGGTTGTGACTTCATAACACACACACACACACACACACACACACACACATTAGAATGGACCTCCACCCCAGAACCCAGGTGGTCAGCTAGGGACTCAGGAGGCTTGCTGTATTGTCCCCAGAGCCCTGGCCTGTCTAAGGTAGGACCAGGCACTGGACAGTGGCTGAGCCAAGAACCAGCTGGAGGAAACCCAGCATACTCTAGAGAGAGGAGGAGGAGGGAGAAGGCTGGCTGGGCTAGCCTTGTCACTCCATAGCTGTGGGCAGGGGATGAGCGGTCACAGTGGCCACCACCTTACCGGAAACGTCTAATTAGGAGACGGAGCAGCACCAGCAGGGCCCAACCAGTTCTACCTCCCGCCTCCTGCCACTCAGGACCAGCGGATGACACACCAATGCACACTCCTTGTGCGTGCGGCCCGGCAGGGACACGCGGGGGTGGCAGGGAGACAGGTCTGACAGGGCTTCTGGGGTGAAGGAAACCTCCCCACCCTAGCAGCCTCTCGAGCCCCTCGCTCGGGGCAGAGGCAGCACAGCGAGCGTACACCTTGTCCTCAACAGCAGCCTTTCCAGGGTTTTGTGGGAAGGCAGAGACAGACAGGCCAGCAGGAGATTCCTCTCCAACGAATAAGGCGTGGGTCCTTAGACCTGCCCCCCGCCCCCCACCCCCCACCCCCCAGCCTCCTCTCCATGGAACTGCAGAGCCCAGGGTGACAGCTCATCCCGAGCTCAGACTGAATGACCTACTGCCACGGCCAGTCTGCATGACCACGCTCAGCTTTGGGCCACCTCACTCACACAATCCCACTAAATGACAGACGAGGGTAGAGGCCCGTGTGCTTCCACCTAGGCTAAGAACAGGGAATTTTCCTCCATTTGGGACTTTGAGCCAAGGTTTCACCATTGGCTGGTAAGTGGGCACCAGAGCCAGCCCGCCACCCAGCTCCCCCCCCCCCCGCCCCGGCCTACTAGGTCATGTCGCCTTGCCGTTTACCAGGGTACCCAGGTCTCAGAAAGCATGGCTAAGAGTTGGGCCCTCAGAGAGAGGTGGGGTGCCAGCTCAGGGGCCAGGCTGGGTCCAGGTGTGGTGAATCAACCCTGGAATGAGGTGGCTCATTAAAGTCCCCGGTCAGACGGACGCCAGCGCCAGCAGAACGGGTTCTGGGCGGCACGCAGGCGCATTCTTCTCTTGTCAGACCTTTGTTGTGTTTTGAGGGGGCGAAAGCTGGGTTGCTCCCCGAAACTTCAGTGTTCCCCACTCACCCTTCCTCCACGATCACATTCTCTTTGGCCCTGTTTAGCCAGGGACAGGGGGTGAGGGGAGAGCCTGACCCTGGTGGGGGAGGGGGGGCACTGACATTACAAATCCACCCTCCCCCACCCCACACCCCAGGTCCCTCTGAATCAGCCTTTCTGCCCACGTCCCTCTTTTGTCCTTCTGAAGCTTGGGAAATGCCCCCCTTGCTCCTTGGTTCCAAGTACAGAGTTGGAGCTCAGGTTGGACTGATGATCTAAAATTGTGGTTGAAAGCTTGAGACCGTTGGCCCCGGCTCTGTTGGCTTTGAGACCTGTTGCCTGGGTGCCGCTGTTTCTTTCATGTCAGGACCTGGGGCGCAGGGTCTGCAGCCAAGCTTCCCTGGCCCGCTTAGTATGAGGTGTGTGCCGAGGGGAGCGGCCTTGCCAAAGGGCTGCCAGGTATCGGTGTGCACTGCCCGAGGGAGCCCAGCCCCAGTGCGTGGCGGCGCACAGCGGTCCCCAGGGGAGGCTTGCGCAAGCGCAGGGCGGGCAGCATCCACCTGCTGCGCCCTGACCTCCTCCCTCTCCACCCACCTGGCCTGTTTGCCTACCAAGCTGGGCCCAGCCCCAGCTGACAGCCGGAGCCCTGATGGGCCAGGGGTACAGGAGGGCTAGGGCCCCAAAGGCTAATAGCTACATCTGCCCAAAGGGGAGGCACATGGGGGGCCTAGATCCCCCCACCCCGGCACCCTCTGGTGGCCAGGGCAAGCCTCAAGGAGAGCTGTCCCTGGCCAGAGCTCCCATGGTGCCCTTTGTCCCAACAGAAGTGAGGACAGGCCTGGAATCCAGAGGGACTGGCCGAGGTGGGGCGCTCGGACAGTGCAGGCATAATTGGCAGGGCACCTTGTCCTCCCAGTTCCGCTAAGACACAAGTTACGCAGCCAGCAGTGGCATTTGGCTGGCGTCACCTGTAATTACCTTAATGGGGCAGGAGGGAGGCGCAGGTGTGGTAAGGCTGCTCCATTCCCTCCCCCCCCCAGCTCTGCCCACATGCCTGCAAGGGGAGGAACAGAAGCTTCTGGTTCCAGCCACCTCCCGACACTGCACAGAATCCTCTTTTCTCCCCACACCCCTCACCTAGCTGCTCTTCTCTCCTCAGTGAGCCTGGGCTTCTGCCCCCCACAGCCCTACCGGGAGCCAGAGCCTTCGGTGGCTGAACCTCCTTCCTGCCCCCTGGCTTTGGACATGAGCCTTCGTGACTCCAGCTACACTGTGGCCCCTGGGCCCTGTGTGGTGGCCCAGCTGCCCTCGGAAGATGTGGGCCGCCTGACAGACCCACAGGTCAGAGACCAGGGCTTCCTGCGCACCAAGATGAAGGTAATGGCTCTCCCACTGTCTCTAGGGTCCAGAGGTGGGCAGCACCCCGTGTGCAGCCCACACAGAGTGTCAAAAAGCACGAGACAGGCCTGGGAGGACCAGGGCCCTAGGCTGAGGCAGAGAAGAGAGCTTAGCTGTCATGGGAAGAGTCGGGGAGAAGCGGGTCTGCAGTGCGACACCTCAAGCTCTGGGGTTCCCCATCTGTGGGGCATCCAGTTTTATTTTGTGCCACAAGAGGTAAGCAGAGCCGTGGGAAGAAACACCTCTTCACACACAAGTCCTGAGCGAAGCAGTATGGTGGAGTCCAGCCCAGCTGCCGCCTGGCCTCGGGTCCAGCCCCCCAGGGAGCATGAGGTCTGGAGTTGGTGCGGCAGTTAGCTGTTCCTTGAGGCATGTGGCGTGGCCACCTTGCCCAGGTGTGCCATCTCCAGCCCTGTCAGTGTGCCAGGCAACCCCTGCCCCTCCCCCATACCCAGCAGGAGTGTAGATACCCAGCTTCCATGGAGAACGCTGGCAGCAGGCTTGCCCTGACTGGGTTGGCACTCCTGACTGCTCCAGGACCTGAGGGCATCTGCCAGCAGTGACCTAGCGGAAGGGTGCTCCTCTAGCTCTCCCGTGTGCGAAAGACTGCAGTCAGCTGGCCCAAAAAAGACTATCCCTTCCCCTCCTACCTACAGGGGTCAAGTGTGCTGTAAGCACAGGGGACATGCTCCATAGTTAGTGACAGCCAGCCAGAGCCCTCCTGACTTTCTATCTCTCACCCCCCACCCCTGCCAGCCCTCCCCTGCCTCTCACATCCCTGTGAATAGGGGGAAGAACCTGGGGCAGGGCAGCCGAGGAATCAGAGCACCGAGTCTGACCCACAGAGTCTTAGCTAGCTGCATGAGGAAGCTGGAATTCAGGAATGGCCAATGACAGGGCCCCCCACAGAGCAAGGCCACTTCTGGGTGTGAACAGAGGTGTGTCTCCCTGGGCCAGCCATTCAGTTTGTCCTGTGCTTGGCCACACAGAGCAGCACACTTGGCGGGAGATCTGGTAGCTCCTGGGACTTGCTTCAGGTAAAGGAGAAAGGTGGCAGAATAAGATTCTCACTGAGTACCAGGCACAGGCCCATGATATTGAAAATTCCTGTCGTTAAAAAAAATCCTAGGCAAGAGAATGGCAAAAGGGAGCACACCACGCCCTGGCAATCAGACCTGGATGGAGGCCAGCTCAGGGAAGTCACAGCCCGGGAGGCCACCACAGGGACCATAGTGTGGACTTCTTCCCTGTCTCAAAGGGCAGAGGAAACTGTGCAAGGCACGGGAATCTCAGAGGGAGACCCAGCCACAGCTGAGGCGAACCCCCTCACGCGTAGATGCCTGGTGGTGCAATAGCCACTTATGGATGATCATTCAAGCCACAGCTCTCAACAGCTTAGGTGGCAGCCTCAGAAAGAGATGTGGGGAAAGGAAGCTGGATGAAAGACCCAAGGGTTTCTTCCCACCCGCACACTGCCTCTCTCTTAGCAGACAGCATAGGCTCTGGGCACTGGAGGGCCTCTGCTAGGGGCTGGCACGTGTCCTCCTTCCCTGCCAGCCCACCGTCACAGGGATTCTGGATATCTGTCACAATACTGTCCTTGCGGGGGCCAGTGGCTCATGCCTGTAATCCTAGCAACTCAGGAGGCTGAGATCTGAGGACTGAGATTCGTAGCCAGCCCAGGCAGGAAAGTCCACCCGACTCCTATTTCCAATTAACTAGCAAAAATCCAGAAATAGAGCTGTGGCCCCACTGGTAGAGCACCAGCCTTGAGCAGAAAAAGCTAAGGCCCTGAGTTCAAGTACCAGTGCCAACACACAAAAAAAACCAAACAACTGTCTTCACCCACAGGTGACCCTGGGGGACAGTCCCAATGGAGACCTCTTCACCTGCCACATCTGCCAGAAGACCTTCACCTACCAACGCATGCTGAACCGCCACATGAAGTGCCACAATGACGTCAAGAGGCACCTGTGCACCTACTGTGGGAAGGGCTTCAACGACACCTTTGACCTCAAGAGACATGTCCGAACCCACACTGGTACGTGGAGGCCTGTGGCCAGGAGGGAGCCCCCCCAGACCTACCTGGACAGGTTCAAGTGGGAGGCTGCCAGCAGCCTCCTTGGTGATGGGGCCTAGGAGAGCGCACAGCCTTCTGGGTTCACAGATGAGGACTTGGGATTCGAGCTCATTGGGGAAATGAGTGTTAACTAGGCCTCATCTGTCCCTCCTCTAGCCCAGAGGCGGGTGTCCTGACCTTTCTGTGTCTGGACACTGCTGACAGGCACCAAGATCCCCTGATGTCGGCCCCTGTCCTCTGCAGGTGTGCGGCCATACAAGTGCAGCCTGTGCGACAAGGCCTTCACGCAGCGCTGCTCCCTGGAGTCTCACCTCAAGAAGATCCACGGTGTGCAGCAGCAGTACGCGTACAAGGAGCGCCGGGCCAAGCTGTACGTGTGTGAGGAGTGTGGCTGCACCTCCGAGAGCCAGGAGGGCCACGTGCTGCACCTGAAGGAGCACCACCCTGACAGCCCGCTGCTGCGCAAGACCTCCAAGAAGGTGGCCGTGGCCCTGCAGAACACCGTCACCTCCCTGCTGCAGGGCGGCCCCCACCTCTGAGTACCCAGGCCGGGGTGATCCCAGAGGGGCCAGGGGCACCTCTCTGCTACCCGGCCAACCCACCCTCCCATGGCCTCTTGCCCAAATACCAGTGATCAGGACCAGAGCCCCTGGGCCTTGGGCTCCCACAAGGCACCCCCTGATCACGCAAGCCTACCGTTGATGGTGCTCCTTCCTCCATGTTTGACTTATGGACAGAGGCTGCTCTGAGTGTGGGAAGACATAGGAATGTCTGCGCAGGGGTGAGGCCAAGCAAGCCCAGCACTGCCTCCTTGTAGCAGGACTTCCTCCCCAAAGAACAAAGACCAGAGGGGACCCTGATGCCCTTCTGCAGAGCCCGGGTCCCCGTGGACAGCGAGTCAAGAGCACCCTTGCAAGCAGCAGTGGGGGAGGCTGGCAGCAGCAGGTTCTAATGCTCAGGGTTCCGGAGGGCTCTGCCCTTCTGACAAAGAGGCACACGTTTGCACAGCTCTGTGTGTGTGTGTGTGTGTATGTGTATGTGTGTGTGCACGCACGCGTGTGCCCAAGCAGCTACATGTGTCCTCTGTTTTTCCTCGTTGTATGTGGGTTCCCATGCGTGTGTATTCCTGTGCACGGGGGTGCACACACGTGGCCTCTCGGCATATCACCTCATTCTTAAACCAACCACAAGGTGCCAAGGAGGTTTTATTTCCTTTTTTGTAAAGATGACAAATGTACAGATATTAATATATTTTTGGTGCCCATGGCGATTATTTTTAAGAGAGGGTTGGAGCTGGCTTTTCTCCACCCCCGCCCCCTGTGGTTCTATTTATCCTGGACATTTCAAACCTCCTCTGTGCCTTGGCTCTGGGGTGGCTGTGCCAACCCACCCCCCTGATCTTTGAACATCCAACCAGAGACCTTCCAACAGCCCCACACTGAGGGTGGAACACTCCTTCTGTCCTTCCTCTTCTGCTGGACAGAGCCTCACCTCTCCTGCTCCTCCCTCCCCAGCCCTCTCTCCTTCATGAGGCCCCAGGTTTCCTGTCCTGGTGAGCCTGTGCACTCCTGATGGACAACTCACCGTGTCTGAGGCTGAGGGCGGGTCCCGCTGGGGCATTAGGGGTCAGCCAGGTGGATGGCAAGTCTTTAACACTGAGTCTGCTGCCTGAAACACCAGGCTAGTACAGGACCGAGCTGGAGGGCTGGTCCTCTTCTGGATGAGTCAGAAACCCTAGAACAGTAGAAAAAAAGGGGGCAAGGGGTGGTGGTGGTGGATCATAACATCAGAAATGTCTAGAGGGAGAAGAGGAGGTTAACAAGATTTCCCCGTGGCTGGCTGTTTGGCACGTGGCTGGCTGTTTGGCACATGGCTGGGATTTTGAGCAGCTGTTCTGGTTCTCCCCTAGGAGGGAGGTGTTCTCCCATGGTGTGCTGAGGAGGCCTGTTGATAACGGGGAATGAGGTTGTAGGTCAAAGTGGGGGTGTGTCTTGTGGGTCAAAGGAGACAGACCTGGAGCTACATCTAGCCAGCCTGCAGGAGAGTCAGCGAGCCAGACTCACCAGATGGCCACCTAGTGTGGCAACCAAGCCCCATCAGACCCAGCCGAGGCACCCCCCACCCAGAAGACCCGGTGTGTGGCACAGACCCCACTGAGGCCCCAACCTCAGACTGACCCTAGAGGGAGATTTCTTGTTCTGTATCTGAACTATTGTATAGACCCACTCTGAAGGCTTGTTTTCATTTTACTTTAATTGTCTGGGGAGTTGCTGTATTCTCAAAGTCCTACAGGTTATCCCAAAGCTCTGTTTGTGTTTACATTTCTGTACCCCTGTGCTCACTGACAATCTGAGATAGCTGTGAGGCTCTGTGTTGTATCTGTCTTATTTTATAACTTTCCCTCCAACAATTAAAATCAGATCGCTAATGTTTTCTGTATTTTAGGGGAGGGTTGTGTTGTCTTGGGTCTCTTTCACTACCACCACCATTATCACACCCATAGGGAAACAAAACCCATCAAAACAATTGTCTGTAGTCCGTGAGATTCTTATCTACAATCATTACCAAAAAGTCACAAGGGAAGCTATGTCTCAAGTAGTAGAGTGCTAGCCTTGAGCAAAACAGCTAAGGGGTAAACACCAAGGTCCTGAATTCAAGCCCCAGTATACAAACATTTCCCCTTCGCGGTTACCACTGGGCTTAAGACAAGAACCTGACGCAGCTGGATGATATGACCTGCCGGGCCTCCGTCAGTCAGAGCCTGCTAACCCTGGTCCAGTCTATTTTTTGTTGTTGGTTGTAGGGCTTGAGCCACAGCGCCACTTCTGGATTTTGAGTGGTTTATTAGAGATAAGAGTCTCACAGGGACTTTCATGCCCAGGCTGGCTTTGATCCAAGATCCTCAGATCTCAGTTTCCTGAGTAGCTAGAATTTACGGTACAGGCATTAGCCACCAGTGCCCGGCTCCAGCCTGCTCTTTAAGGCGGCAGCAGCGGAGGAACACATACCCCCTCCTCAGCCAGTGCTCAGCAAGTGTCTTGAGATGCCAACAGCCTTCATCTCTTCAGTCACTTGGGGCCCTAAGAAGGGTGTCAGTCTCTCTTCCCAACACTGCCAGGATTAAACCAAAGGAAGGGAAGTCACATTCCCAAAAATAGGGCACAACACATATCAATTCCAGTTAGACATCTAGCGATGCCTCGCCATACACCGTGCTGGTCTGTGCCAGGCGCTCCCGAAGGTGCTTCTGCAGAGCAGTGCAGTGTCCTCTAGCCACCTGAGGCCAGTGCTGGGTCTTCTGTTTTGGCAGTCACTGTCCTTGAGCTTTTCTGCTCTGCTCAAAGCTAGCACTTTACCACTTTGAGGCACAGCACCACTTCTGGTTTTCCAGTGGTTAAGTGGTAATAAGAGTTTCACGTGGACTTTTCTGCCTGGACTGGCTTTGAACCATGATCCTCATATCTCAGCCTCCTGAGTAGCTAGGATTACAGCTGTGAACCACCAGCACTCAACTGCTGGTGCTGTTCTTACCTCCACGCTTAGAAGACAGTCGTTGAGAGCTGGCCCAAAGCCTGTTTGGCTCAGATATTATGCTCAGATGCACTGCACACAGCCACTAGACAACCAGGAGAGGACCCAGAAGGCACCTCTATGTATTCACACTAAAAGGTAGGTGGGAGATTACCTGGCCTTGCCCATCACCGAAGTAGAATCATTCTGGGAGACTTGACCACAGAGGACCCTGGTCCAGGATCCCTCCATCATGCCCCTGCCAGATGGATGAGCAGGAGGAGATGGAGGAGGAGGAGGAGATGGAGGAGGAGGAGGAGGAGAGCTTCCAGGCTAGGGCCATTGGTGTACATCCTGGGGGGTGCAAGGGGGCTGGCGCTGGGCACTGTGAAGAGAGAGCAAAGCACTGTTGTAACCTCGGGCTCACTACGAGGAACCTGAGTACTGGACAGAGCCCTGGCCACCAGAGAGGATTGCTTTCTCTAGAGGAACCCCACCCCCACCCCACACACACATCAAGCTCAACTTAACTTCCATTTTACACATCTAAGGGGTACAAAACCTAATCTTGTCAACTTTGGGAAGAGAGTCCTGGGGGCCAGGGAAGCAGGGTCCTGGGGCTCCTTTGAATCTCTGTGGTCCCAGCTTCTCACATGAGCTCAGGGCAGGATCCCCCCCCTCCCAACTCCCCCACAGCATTGGAGGAGACAGTGAGTGTTCACACAGCTCAGGCACCTTCAGGTTCCTGGATGGTAGGGTCTAGAAGGTAAGTAAGTGCTGGGGGAAAGAGCAAGTAAGAGAGCTCCAGCTGACTGGCAATAGGCCCAGGCTCGCAAGAGAGAAGAGATTAGCCTAAGTCAATATGTAACTAAGGACAAATGGTGTGGCCAGACCACAAGCACCAGGGAACCCCTAAAGGAGTCCTTTGCTTCTGAAAGAACAAAGGCCTCTTGGTGAAGGTGGGGTTCCAGCCTGGGGATTCAGGATGGGATGTGGGGTGTCTCAGAGGAGGCCAGGATGAACAGGACACAGAAAGCTCCCAGAGCACAGCAGGACTTGCAGAGCTGGCGGATGATTGGCGCATGACAACAATAAGGCAGACTAACCACCAATCCCCAGCCTGCTGGGTTCAGCCACAGGCATTCTGGGAGTCTTTCCTGGGGGCCTTAAGGACTGATAACAAAACCAGCTTCTGAGAGGCCTGGTGTGGGTGGGGAATGGCTCAGACTCCTATTCTTCCCAAAACAAAGCAGGAGAGCCAGGGAATACTCTTGAAAAGATGCCCTAAATTTAAATGTCTTTTCTAATTTATTTTACAGTGAGCATAGGTTATTTTTATAATTAGAACAAAATAGAATGGTAAAACCATTGACTGGTTTTAGTTGAGTTTAACACATCAACATCGAGATGTGGGTGCCCCCTTCCTGCCCCCTCAAGAAGAGCAAATGCAGCCTCAGTGATCCAAGCGTGGGCTCTACTAGTCACGGCTCTTCACTTCCAGCAAGTCCTGTAGGGTCAGCAGGTGACTGGAAAGAGCCAGGCTTGAATCAAGAGGCGTGTTTGGAATCCTACACCAGTGGCTCATATCTGTAATCCTAGCTGAGGATCATGGGTTAAAAGCCAGCTCAAACAGGAAAAAAAAAAAAAGTGGGAATGAAGTTAAGGCTCAAGTGGTATAGCACCAGCCTTAAGCGAAAAACCTACATAAGAGCACGAATCTCCAGGATTGGCGCACGCGCGCACGCACACACACACACACACACACACACACACACACACACACACACACACACACACAGCCAGGCGTCGGTGGCTCACGCCTGTAATCCTAGCTACTCAGGAGGCTGAGATCTCAGGATCGATCACGGTTCAAAGCCAGCCTGAGCAAGAAACTCCATGAGACTCTTATCTCCAATAAACCACTCAGAAAACCAGAAATGGCACTGTGGCTCAAGTGGTAGAGAGCTCGCCTTGAGCTGAAGAGCTGAGGGACAGTGCCCAGGCCCAGAGTTCAAGCCCCACAACCAACAAAAAAATAAATAAAATAAAATCCCTTTATACTCTGCAGGGTCACTAGATCCCAATTTCAATAGAATCCTTTGAGAAACAACTGACAACTGAGCAGGGCCCAGGACAGGGATGAGGACGGGGATGAGGACAGAGGCTGGGGAGATGCGCCCAAAGGAGAGGAAGGCAGGCCGCTGCGGAGGCCTGAGGCAGAAGACAAGTTCTCCAGCTGGTTTCTTCTATAGACCCCAGGAGCAAGAGGCGACAGATACAGGAGTGCAAACTCCCTCTGAGGGAGCAGAAGATCCTTCCAAGCCCTGACACAGCTCTACCACCAGAGGGAGGAGCCAGTGGCCTGACTGCGGGGTGTGGGGGTGGGGGGGGAGCTATCCAAGTAAGCCTGGGGAGCCACTGGCAGCAATCACTATAGGGTCTCCGTCCTGGGATTGTACACTGGTCATATAATCTCCAAGGCTCTTCCACCCACAAAATCCTATAGAGACGAACCAAAGTGCCATGCTGGGCAAAAACTGGGTAATTGGATGAAATGACAGCAGTGTGAGGCCCATTGCAAAGCTGTACCTGACTCTGGCTTTGGGAGTGATAAGCTCGGGCATGTAGTGGGAAGGAGCTTTCCATGCCCATCCTCTGCGTCTACTCCCTGGGGCCAAGGTGGCCACCTGGCCAAGAAGTCCCACTCTTTTGTCCAAACTGGACCTGCTGGACTGGGAAGGTGGCTCAGTGGTAGAGCGCTTGCCTTGCATGCATGAGGCCCTGGGTTCGATTCCCCAGCACCACATAAGCAAAAAGAAAAAAAGCCGGAAGTGGCGCTGTGGCTCAAGTGATAGAGTGGTAGCCTTGAGCTGAAGAGCTGAGGGACAGCGCCCAGGCCCAGAGTTCAGGCCCCACAACTGGACCCCAAAAAACAAAACAAAACTAAAACAAACCGGACCTGCTTCCTTCACCCTCTGTTGGCCCCTTCCCAACTTTCCTAGAGGTTGTTTTGACACTAGCAGTCCTGCCCCAGGCTGACGGGTGGAGCTGTTAGCTCCTCTGACCCATCACTTTGCCCTGGGCTTTGCCTCACATGCCCCCTTTTCCTGTAGCTCCCTTGGGCCTCATCTGTGGACACTAGGCTGGAAGCATGGGAGAGGGGGGCAAGGCAGGACCAGCTCTAGAGGGCAGGGTGGGTCACACGTGGAAATTTGGGCAGGGTGAGGCAGGTACATAAGGGCCGCAGGCCAGTGGCTGATTTCTCATTCCTCACCATTTCTCCTTGTCTACAGTCATCACCCACCCACCCCCATATTGCCAAGGTATCTATTCCAATACCCCTGGTAAATGCCTGAGACTATGTTTAGTACTGAATAGGCTATGTATAGTCTGTGGTCCCCCCCCAACATGTATCTATGATAAACTTTAATTTAAAAATAAGGACTGAACCAGGCACTGTTGGCTCATGCCTATTATCCTAGCTGCTCAAGTGACTGGGATCTAAGGATAGCAGTTCGAAGCCAGCCCAGACAGGAAAGTCTGTGAGACTCATCTCCAATTAACCACCTAAAAACTGGAAGTGGAGCTGTGGCTCAAAGTGAGCAAAAGAGCTCAGGGACAACACCCAGGCCCTCAGTTCAAGCCCTGTGACCACCAACAACAATAACAAAAAAGACCAAGCTAGGTGCTGGTGTCTCATGCCTATAATCACAGCCACTCAGGGGGCTGAGATCTGAGGATCACAATTTAAAAACCAGCCTGAGAGACTCTCAAACCAATCTCAAAGACTCTCCAATTAACTAGCATAACAACAACCTGAACAGGAGCCATGGCTCTAGTGGTAGAACACCAGCCATGGGCAGAAAATAGCTGAGAGAGAAGAATCCATGAGCTCAAGCCCAAGTACTGGCACATCCA